GGATACCAAGGGGGAAAAGGGATGGGAGGAATTGGGAGATTGGGAATGACATATATACACTATTGGTAAAGAACCCGCCTGCCAATACAGGAGATATAAGAGATGCAGGTTTGATTCCTGAGTCAGAAAGATTTCTTGGAGAAGGGAATGGTAGCCCACTCCAGTATTTTTGCCTGGAAAATCCCATGGACTGTAGCCTGCCAGGCTCCTCTGTCCATGGGGTTGCAAAGAGTCAGACACCACTGAGTAACTAACACTTTCACTTTCACATATATAGAACAGATAACTAATGTTTAAGTTAATGGAGACTTAAGTAAGATAGGTTAGCTTTCAGCCACTGGAATTCAGTCCTTTTGATCAGAAGTCTGCAAAGTTTTCCTGGAAAGGAGCCAATAGGAAATATATATGACTTTGTGAGCCATTCCATCTGAATCTCCATCTCAACTACTCCCACTCTGCCACTGTATCTCAAAAACAGCCATAGACAATATGGAAATAAATGACGGTAGCTGGGTGCCAATAAAACTTTATTTACAGACACTGAAATTCAAGCATCCTATAACTTTCACATGTCGTGGAGCATTATCCTTCTTTTGACTGTTGTATTCAACAAGTTTAAAATGGGAAAACCGTTCTTAGCCCATGGGCTATACCAAAAGAGAGGGTAGACCAGATGTGGCCCATGGGCCCCCGTCTGCAAACCCCTGCTTCAGAGCATGCCGCCGTAAGATGCTGCTGCCAAGAGAGTGGGGATCGCGGTAGAGCCTCGAGCACAAGTCCATAGCACGCGGTAGGCACCCAGTGTGTGTTTGCTGAGAGAGAGAAGGAAGGGGTGTGGAGGGGGTGTGGAAATCAAGTTGCCAGGGGTCCTACAAGCTGAATTCCTGGCTCAGAGCCCAAGGCTGACAACACCTCACCTGCTATCTCCTCTTGGGCTGCAAGATCATTTCCTTCCATTTCCTCAGGACCTCTCTACAGACTCCTAGAATGAAGAGGTGTTGACAAAGCCTTTGAAACTCCCAGGAGCTCAGAGCCTACTTTGCAAATTTAGAAGCAGGCACCAAGGAGTCCTCCTGTTGAACTCACTGAAGTCGAGTCAGTGTCTCCCACCACCTGAAAAGTTTCTATTGTCTACCCTGAACACAAATCTAGGGAAGAACACACTCTGTTCCCAAGCCTGCTTGTGCCGTGTTGCCAGCTTAACAACCCACGAGTGCCACTATCCTGAGTTTTTAGACCAAGCACTTCAGTCCCCACTCAGAAAAGTCATTTGCATCCCCCACGCCAGGCCCCCGACTGCTATATTAATCTCCCCATTTGTCCCCTCCTGAGTCATCTAATATTACTGCTGGCTAATTAAAACATCAAAACCCAAGTACAACAGCCCTGCCAGAGGCCTTCTAATGCCTGGTTTCAAGTGTGCCCTTCACACAGCCTAGGGCGGAGAGTGGCATGGCTCATGCCTGGGCCCCCAATTAGTTGTCTCGTAATGACCACCCCTCGCACATCTGGACCCTCAACAGATGACCTCTTTGATTACCTGTATCTCGCTCCATCTGCCCTGCCTGTGAAGACTTCCGGCTCCCTCCCACCTTGTCAGGGTCCCCCCACCCCTGCCCTCTGCCCTCTGCCCCTCTGTCACCTCCACGGGTCCTGGGCCTGACCCCAAATACCAATACCACATCTGTTATCCCTACTCTGGGACTGCATCTGCTCCTCAAACTCTGGGGTGTCAAGAGAGAGTTTCTTTACTGGCTAAGTGATGCCCAGTATTTAGGAAGGATGGCTACAGTGCCTCCCATATGGACAAGGTAGGAATTTATTTTCCTAGGGATGCAGATTGCCGGCATGATCAGAGGAATTTGTCACCACAAAGGCCCACCTAGAGGCGACCTCCATCACCTGGATATCTGCTAGGAGAGACAGGAGTAGAAATAGAATCCTAAATAAAGAAGTTCAGGATGTCTAGACAGGCCTTCAAAGGAAGTAGAGTCATCTGTACATGACTTCATGTGGGGACATAAGTAAAAGAACTTAAGAGTTTAGTGGAATAGAAGGGCAGATAGGGAATGGAGGGAAGAATTCATTCAAATCCTTCTCCTGCTCCCAGGGTGATAGTGCAGTAGTAACACTTAAAGCAGTAGTCGTAACAAGGCTTCCCAGGTGGCACTAGCGGTAAAGAACCCACCTGCCAATGCAGGAGACCTAAGAGACGTGGGTTCAATCCCTGGGTCGGGAAGATGCCCTGGAGGAAGGCGTGGCAACCCATTCCAGTATTCTGGCCTGGAGAGTCCCCATGGACAGAGGAGTCTTGTGGGCTATAGTCCATGGGGACTGCAAAGAATTGGACACGTCTGAAGTGACTTAGCACTCAAGCACAGTTGTAATAGGACTGCAAGTTGTACTAGTAGTAGAATAATGACACCAACAATGATGAGGAGTGGCTAACATTTAGAAGGCTGTTGCAATCACCCAAATGAAAGATGGTGGAAGCTTGGATAGAGGGCTACACAGTAGATGGAGAGAATGAGGATTCTGGAGCCATTTAGAAGGCTAAATGGATGGGAGTCAGGGGTGGTCTGGGTGTGGGGGATAAAGAAGATGATGTTCAGGACAGTTCCTTCCTGTGGCGTGCACAGGTGGTGGGTGGATGTTGGTACCCAGTGCTGAGATGAGAGCCACTGGGGACAACCAGGCCTCGAAGATCATGAGTCATAGGACCTTCCTTTTGTTCTTTGTTCTCACTCCCTGCTCTGTGCTGGCAGTCTTTAATGGTGGCATGCTGTCACTTGCCTCTCGTTCCCCAAAATCCAACACGGTGGCACGGATGCTTTAGCATACAGCTCCACTTGCAGAAAGGTGGCTATGCCTCTCACTTCTCTACCAGCAAGACTCTGGTCCCTCTTCTTTACCTGACTAACAGGTCTTGACTTAGAAGTCAAATGACCCTGGTCAGATGCCCCTTCCGTGTGCTTCACAGTCCCCTGCACACTGCCAACATCCCATGTTATGATACTCATTTCATTCAATTATAATAGTTCATTTAATCATCATCCCCATTGGGCTACATAAACTCCATGAGGGCACAGATCATGTCTGTTGTGTTTGTTACTATAGCCCTTGCCCTTACTGACTTGCCTGGAACATAGGAGATACTCAGTAAACCTGTGCTGGGTGAATGAATGAATGAATGAATGAGTGAGTGAATTGTACATGATGGCCAAGAGGCAGAGTGGTCAAACAGTGGAGGGCATGGTTTGAAAGCCAGACTGCCAGGATTTGACTCCTGGCTCCAGTTTATTAGTTCTGCGATCTTGTTCAACTTAGTTAACTTCTCTGTGCCTCAGTTTCCTCATCTGTGAAATGGGGATGATAAGGTTGCTGCTTGGCACATAGCAAGTGTTCAGTGGATGTTAGTTTTCAGTAGGTGTCCTTCAGGGTTCTCTGTGATTTCCGTCCCAGACGTAACCCAATTCAGTCCTAATTCATAGCTCTCTCGCCAGCCTGAGCACCTCCATGCTGATGGGACGTGGATCCTGCCCCCTTTCTGACTTCATCTCCTTTGTATTCATTCACACTCAAACACCCCAGCCGCACTGGCCTCCTTGCTGGTCCTTTACACTTACAAGCTTATCCCTAGCTCAGGGCCTCTGCATGTGCCTTTCCCCCACTCCACTTTGTCACCATTACTTCTTCTCTATATTATATTCTTATTACCTCCTTAAATTATATTATCCATGTATTAGTTTACTTATTATTTATCTCCACTTCTCCAAAAACAGTGCTTCAGAAGAACAAGGATCCTGACTGCCTTGTTCACCTCGGTGTCCGCAGCACTTAGCAGTGCCTAGCACATAGTAGATGCTCAAGAAATGCAATTTGAATGTGTGAATACCCTGGCTCTAGGTCACTGCCCACTGCGCTACTCTTTGGCATGAGTGTCACTCAACACTGTTTCATCCCGTCCCCTCCCTTGCTCAGCTGTTGCATCAGGGTATACCTGATGCCTCTCCCTTAGAACTTCTGATGCCTGTCTAATGCACAAGCACACCTCTCTCCAGGCTGGTAGACGCCCACTCAGAAATACCTAAGAACAGAAACTGATCCTTATCAGTGAGGCTTAAAATGGATGGGCAACATGTGTCAGCCAGGCCTCTCCCCTCTCACCTACTGGGCAGTTTGCTTACAGAGGTGAAGACAAACGGGGGACTGACGATGTGCATGGCGAGGATAGTATGTGCAAAGGCCCTGAGGCAGGGACATGCTTGGCCTTCTTGAAAAACAGAAACCTGACGTTGGAGGAAGGTATTCTGTGCTTCCAGGGCTTTCCAGGTGGTGCAGTGGTAAAGAATTCACCTGCCAATGCAGGCAACCAGAGTTCAATCCCTGGGTCAGGAAGATCCCCTGGAGAAGGGAATGGCTACACACTCCAGTATGCTTGCCTGGAGAATCCCATGGACAGAGGAGCCTGGCAGGACAGGCCATGGGGTCACAAGAGTCAGACATGGCTGAGCATGCTATGCTTCAAACCTTTCTCACTTAAACTTCTTGTTTTCCCAGTATTTGCCCAAAATGGTGAGTTTGGACTATGGCAGGACGGCCCAGAAATCCAAGTAACTTGACCCAACCTCAGGTTTGATTCCTCAGCCCTGAGGGCTGTTACCATTTGGAGAGACTGTCAGTGTTCTTTCAGTCACTTATTCATTCAGCAAGCATTCATTGAGTCCCAGCTATGTGCCAGACCCTGCACTAGAGGCCAGAGAGACCAGCTTTTGAGCTCCTGACCCCTCTCCCCAGGACAGACCCTGAGACCTTCTTCCATGGCACCTCCTTCTGTATAAGGAGAGGGACCAGGTCCCAGTCACCTTGCATGTGTCCACCCCAGAGAGTCACAGACAGGTGGTGACTAGGGGCAGATTCCAGGAAGAACACCACCTCTTCCCAACCCAGTGGAGACAATCTTCCAGTGCCTAATATGCCATCTTCATTCTCGCCTCCAGCCCCCTGCCTCGGGAAAACAGTCTCCCACGAAGAATGGCAGCCCCTCCAAGTGCCCTCGCTTCCTCAAGGTCAAGAACTGGGAGACCGACGTGGTTCTCTCTGACACCCTCCACCTCAAGAGCACGTTGGTGAGTATCCCAGCACAGCGGGAGACCAGGCCTTTCTCAACCCCAGCAATATCCATGCATGGGACAGGATAATTCTCTTTGTGGGGACCATCCGGTGCATCGTGGAATGTTGAGCATCACCCCTGACCTGTGCCCACCAGATGCCGGTTGTGACAACCAAATTTATCTCCAGATATTACTAGATGCCCTCTGGGTGGGAAATCCACCCCTGTTTGAGAACCACTGGTGGATACTTACCTGTGCAAATACTAGTTATTTCTGTCCCCTGTACCCAAAAGGGGATTGCTGCTCCTAAGTACATTCTTTTTACATCTCACAATCCAACCACTGATGGAGTTTTGAACAAACTCTTCTTAGTTATCAATCTGTCCTCTAAATTTTTATGTATTTTAAAGTCAATCAATCAATCAGTTTCTTTATATTGTAGAAAGCAGGCTTCCCTCATAGCTCAGTCGGTAAAGAATCTGCCTCCAGTGCAGGAAACCCAGGTTCTATCCCTGGGTTGGGAAGATCTCCTGGAGAAGGAAATGGCAACTCACTCCAGTATTCTTGCCTGGAAAATCCCATGGACAGAGGAGCCTGGTGGGCTGTAGTCCATGGGGTCACAAAGAGTCGGGCATGACTAAGCAACTAACACTTGGAGGAATGCTGTATTAGTTAGCTATCACAGTGTAAGAAACCACCCCAAAATTAGTGACCTAAAGCAACTACTACTATTATTTTCCAAGACCTACAGATTGGCAGGGTGGTTCTCATGCTTCTGTTGATCTCATGCTTCTGTGATTATCTGAGGGGTCAGCTCTGGGCAGGCTAAGCTAGGAGGGCCTTGGCTGGGATAAGTTAGCTCTGTTCCATGGGGCCTCTCAGCCTCCAGTAAGGTAGCTTGGTCTCCTCCATGCACTGGACAGAGGGTCCTGAGAGAATGAGCAGAAACATGTAAGATGTCTTGAGGCCTAGAATCAGAATGGGCACAACGTCACCTCTGCCATTTTCTGTTGGCCCAGACCAGCTCAGATACAAAAGGAGAGGGAGGAGGCTTCACCTCTTGATGAGAATTGCTATAAAGTTACATAGTAAAAGGCATGAATAGATGGGAGGGAAAGAATTGGGGCTATTTTCTGCAATCAACATCCCATAGATCTGTTCAAAAGAGCTATTGTAATCACTCTATTAGTCCTTCTTGATCAAAATGGGATAAAAAAATAGTTAGGAGGGGTCTCCCTGATGGCCCAGTGGTTATGACTCTATGCTTCCAATGTAAGGGACATGGGTTTGCTCCCTGGTTGGCAACTAAGATCTTACATGATGCATGGTGCAGCCAAAAAAAAAAAATTTTTTTTTTTTAAATATTGGGAGAGTCAACATCAATGGTTCTGATTCCCAGAGAATGGCAGTCATAAAGCCCCTCTCCTCACCCCGCCTCATTGAGTAGAGCAAATAATTACAGAACCTTAAAATGCTGGTGAGGGCTTCCCCTAACTCAGATGTGACTCAGATGGGAAAGAGTCTGTCTGAAATGCAGGAGTCCTGGGTTCGATACCTGGGTCAGGAAGATACCCTGGAGAAGAAATGGCAACCCACTCCAATGCTCTTGCCTGTGGAGAATCCCACGGACAGGGCAGCCTGACGGACTACAGTCCATGGGGTCGCAAAGAGTTGGACACGACTCAGTGACTAACACACACACACTAAAATGCTGGTTATCTTTTCCTCACCTGGGCTAATCACCAGGTACAACAGCGACTGGAAGCTGGTATGTGAGAAATTCACTTTGGGAATTAAAGTCCAGGGAAACTCTACCACAAACGTCAGAGCCAAGTCCACAGCCCTACACATGCCACACTTGGGTGAAACTAAGTAACGGCCCACACCTCTTTTCCTTCCAGGGAACGGGATGCACTGAGCACATCTGTATGGGATCTGTCATGCTCCCTTCTCAGCATATACGAAAGCCTGAAGACGTCCGCACAAAAGAACAGCTCTTTCCTCTTGCCAAAGAGTTCATTGATCAGTACTACTCATCAATTAAAAGGCAAGTTCATGTCTACACTGGGGAGCCCCAGTACTGGGTACAAAGACTTCAGGTCCAACTCTGCAGACAGTTGAACCAAGACTGAGCATAGCACCTCTGCCTGCTGTGCACAAAGGTGGAAAATTGAGCCTGATCATGTACAAGGGCCAGATCTTGCCCCTAGAAATGTTTTTGTTTAGCCTGAAGAGTGTTTCTTAAACTCTTTAAGCAATTTCACACCTGGGTATATTCCCTCAAGAAACTCTCACACTTGTTCACAAGAAGGTCAGCATAAGAATGTTCACTGAAGCATAGTTATTATAGGAAAAAATGAAATTAAGCAACCAGCTGGAAATGACCTCAACTCCATTGTTAGGGGAATGTGTAAGTGAACTGTGGCAGTTTTTGTGATGGAATATTATACAGCTATGAAAATGAGCAAGTGAAAGTTGTGTGTGTTCATGGAAATGAAGCTCACAAATAGCTTTGAGCAAAGGGAAGAAAAGATAGATACATCCTACTCAATAGATACAGTGTATCTGTTATAGAAGATAGATTTAGGACAGCACCATTCATAAAAAATAATACTATACATGATTTAGGGGGCTATATATTGGGCTGGCCAGAAAGTTCATTCATTTTCCCATAACATCAAAAACCCTGAACAAACTTTTTGGTCAGCCCAGTGCACAAGTGTCAAAAATCTAGACAAAAGCAAAAGAATGCTAAATGCCACATTGAAAATAGCAGCCACTTCTGGAAAGAAAGTGAGCTATGGTAAGGAGTAGTCCCCAAGGAATTATAAAATATTTTCTTGTTTATTAATGATTTCTCAGGCTTGGGATATCAATGTTCATTATATTATTTTCTATACCTTTTGTCAGCCTGCAACTTTTCATAAGAATTTTTTTAACTTTCTCAAAGTAAATTTAATCAAAAACAAATTTAAAATTTTGTTTAGAAATGGGAAGAGTTCCCTTTATTTCAAGAGTTTCTCTTGAAATAAGACCTGGCAGTACCGGCCCCCGGTCAGACAGCAGCGGTCTGGACCAGAGCTGAGACTGCCCTCTGTGGACTAGTCTTGGGCTGGCCTGCTTGCCACAGTCCCCACCCAGCCAGTTCAGTCCCATGTTCGGACCTGTGGAGGCATTTGAATTTGCCAACCTTTGCTTTATGCACAAACTATCATGTCCGGATATCAATTCAGACCCTCCGTGGCTTCTGGCCTCCTGTAATAGCTCACTCCTTCCACCAACCTCTAACTGAGCAGAGAAAGTAATGCTCCCATGTCCCTCCCCTCTTCCCTCAGGTTCGGCTCCAAAGCCCACATGGAGAGGCTGGAAGAGGTGAACAAAGAGATTGAAACCGCCAGCACCTACCAGCTCAAGGACACAGAGCTCATCTATGGGGCCAAGCACGCCTGGCGGAACGCCTCCCGCTGCGTCGGCAGGATCCAGTGGTCCAAGCTGCAGGTGGGCCGACAGGCCCAGATATTGTGAAGAGCCCCCTGGTGGGGGCTGCTGTGGGGGAAATGAGCTTTGAAAGGGGTCAGCTTCTACCGCGGGCCCGTGGTGACCATGGCGAGCTATCAAATGGTCATCATGGGGTCCCAGATTCTCAGATCATGACCCAATCTGGCTGGTAGTCATGTTTTATTCAGCCAAAGCAATCTTTTTTAAAACCTGAATTTGACGTCTCTAGGTAGGGCTTATACTCTCCAGGTTACCACAGACCCCATTCGTCCCTTTTGTCTTACACCTACTCTCATTCCTTATTTATGTTATTTGCTTACTCCCTGAAAGCATTAGATTCTGCATCTCCTGGTATGATTTTTTTCCCTGGGGGAATATTTATAAGTTGGAGATAGATTAGTTATCAGTCTCAGGGGGAGTTTGTCTGATTTTTGTTTGTTTTATTTTTAAGTCCCTGTTGTGTTGTTCAGTCACTAAGTCTTGTATGACTCTTTGTGACTCTACGGACTGCAGCACGTCAGGCTTCCCCGTCTTTCATTACCTCCCGGAGTTTGCTCAAACTCACGTCCATTGAGTCGATGATGCCATCCAACCATCTCATCCTCTGTTGTCCTCTTCTCCTCTTGCCCTCCATCTTTCCCATCATCAGGGTCTTTTCATTTTTTTTTTTTAATTTTTATTTATTTTTTTTTTCATTTATTTTTATTAGTTGGAGGCTAATTACTTTACATCATTGTAGTGGTTTTTGTCATACATTGAAATGAATTAGCCATGGATTTACATGTATTCCCCATCCCGGTCCCCCCTCCCACCTCCCTCTCCACCCAATCCCTCTGGGTCTTCCCAGTGCACCAGGCCCGAGCACTTGTCTCATGCACCCAACCTGGGCTGGTGATCCATCAGGGTCTTTTCAAATGAGTCATCTGTTCTCATCAGGCAGCCAAAGTACTGAAGCTTCAGCTTCAGCATCAGTCTTTCCAATGAATATTCAAGGTTGATTTCTTCTAGGATTGACTGGTTTGATCTCCTTGCTGTCCAAGGGACTCTCAAGAGCCTTCTCCAACACCACAATTTCAAAGCTCTGATTCTTCAGTCCTCAGCCTTCTTATGGTTCAACTCTCACACCCATACATGACTACTGGAAAAGCCATAGCTTTGACTATTCGGACCTTTGTTGGCAAAGTGACAAAGTCCCTAATCCCTAGCAACCTCACAGGAGATATAGGCAGTCCATTACAAGTCATTCCTCTGCTCAGCATTCCTTTCCCATGTTCACTTACACCCCATGCCTACTTTTAGGGGATTTTTTCCTGGTTTGATTAGCCCATGGTTATTAGATTATAAAAAGATACTATAAAACACAGGGTGGAGGCTCAGTAATGAAATGCTCACTACCCCAATGGGGCAGCAGCTGGGGTGGGCTCTGGGTGCTTCTCCAATGAGAGGGCTGCCCTGGGCAGGGCTGAATGGGGAAAGAGGAGGCAGTCGTTCCCACAATGTACCCCTTACAGGTGTTTGATGCCCGAGACTGTACCACTGCTCACGGGATGTTCAACTACATCTGTAACCACATCAAGTATGCCACCAACAAAGGGAACCTCAGGTGAGCCAACCAGCTTGGGAGAGGGAGTCTGACGTCCCCACAGTGTTGACCCTTGAGTCTGGAGTTGGCTCCCCTGCAATGGAAATGCTCCCCCCCTTTCCTCGGGGCCAGTGCCACATGGGGAGAGGTGGCCTGGCCTCCTCATTCTGACCTCCACGTGCCTTCTCTCCCGAGAGACACAGACTCCCCTGTGGTTTGCAGAAGTATAGCGACCACAGTCACGTTCATCCCACGGTTTAACATCAGCCTCTAGAGGAAGCAGGATGAGATGTTTCAGATTCCCAGGAAGAGGAAAACCCCCTTGCTGGTGGTGACCCGCTTTCACCAGCACCTGCTCTTTTGCCTAGAGCCACCCCGAGGTCCCCTGGGTTTCAAACGCAACATCTTTTCCCTTTGCCGTGGGGATCACCATTTCTGGTTTCACCAAGCTGAGCCACATCTGGGACTTCTCTTACCTCCCACCAAGAACAAAGCTGCAGGGTGCAGGCCAAAGCAGACAGGTGCTGATGTGAGCTGGTGGCTTCCACACTGGCAAGTCTCAGCTGGGAAAAGAGCAGCTGAGAAGGAACAGCTGAGGCTCCGCAGACAGTCGGTGACACTTGTTAATCATACTCCCTTGGTCCTGCCCCTACATCTGTTCCCAGCAGCTGAGGACCAGCCTCACCTTGGGGCTGCACAGAACCACTGCAAAGATATTCCCACAAGCCCTTGGGCTATGCTGAGCTCATCCGTGAAGTGGCTTATTGGCATTAAGCATGACTTTTCTTGGGCATGTCTCTTCCTTGAGAAGGAAATTGTGTTTGCCACCTGAGCCCACCAGTGGGAAAAGAGCCTGTCATATAAGGCCTGCTGGGGAAATTAGTATTCAGATATTTTTCCAAAAAGACCTTGCCCCCCAGAGAACAACAAAGAACCCCTCTCAACTACATATCCTAAGCGTTAAAGTATGGCCTAGCCAAGGTCTTGGCCTCAAGGAGCTTGTGAGTTATTTTGAAAGTTTTCAAATGATGCTGTGATGGAGTGATTTGGGACAGGGGTCACCAGAGGCCAAGCAGTGCACCTTTACTTTTTTCAATTTTCTTTTGGTGGAGGTCTAAATGAGCTCTTCTATTGATGAAATATTCAGCTGATTTTTTTTAACAAGTTTTAAACTACACATCTGGACACAATGAGAGGCCATAAGAGGATGTATGCCATATATAGAAATAATATAAAATAAGAGATGAAGGTAGGCAAGCGGGAGGAAGGGAAGGAGAGAGATGAAATTTAAACAGGACAGGCATTTGACTTGGTGTTTTGTGACAAGCTCAAGAGACTTGGGAGATGGGAGGTGTAAAGCTGTCCCGTGTCTTCCTCTGGGCTCATTCTTGCACAGAGTAAGCATCCCATCCCACTGCATGTGATTCTGAAGTTTCTAAACATACTTTTAAAATATATGTAAACAAACACAAACATGTGTTATCTGCTGCTCAGCCAAACAGCCATGTGTTTTAACACTGGAGGGAAATGCTGACAATTTGACTCAGTCTGTGTTCATCTCCAATATGGCACCTTTGCCAAGAGATTCTTAAGAGCGTCTTTGGCTCTCTGTGACTTCGCCTTCAGCCTGGATTCCAGATTCACCCCAAGGTGTGACACACCACTCCCTGCAGAATTAAATGAGATACGATCTTGGGCAGACAGCGAGACCTAAACGTGCTCACAAAGGAGGCCAGGAACCAGATAAGACAGGCGATGCTGTGTGAAGAAGGCAGATTTGAGTTGGGACTTGAAATCAGGTACATGACGGCAGAAATGGACTCCAGCCAAGGCAGGCATCAGGAGTAGGGCTCCACGGCAAGATATGAATGGGAGCAGATCTGTGAGCATGGAGTTGGACTTACGATGTCACCCCCATGTTGACATAAGCCAGGATGTGGCTTCCATAGCCTTGGGTTTGGTCCATGGATGGAACTGATGAGTCCAAGTAACAAGAGCTCCTGACAGGAGATAACACTGAACCACTCTTTTTTTTTTTTTTTTTTGGCCACACTGGCTGTTAGTTGTGGCATGTGGAATCTAGTTCCCTGACCAGGGATTGAATCCAGGCCCCCTGGTTTGGGTGCATGGAATCCTAACCAGTGGAGCACCAGGGAAATCCCTACATTGAATCACTTTGTGAAAAAGTTACTCTCCTTTCCATATTTTTCAGTCTTTCTGATGGTGCCAAAGAGAATGAGGCATCATTAACATCTCTCCAAACTGCTGGTCTCCCTTTTAACAAAAAGAGGGCAGGGCTCCAGTGAGGTGCCTTCTGCAGGCAACAACATCTTTCTACAGTTTGATAATAATACAGGGTCTCACAGTTGCCTGTTTGGATGAGTGACGCCAGGGGCAGTCTTCACTTTTTTTAAGTCAATAAATATCAGTACAAATGAAAGTTGATCTCCTATTAATCATGAATCTGTAGAGGGGGTGAGCAACTGGGGCAATAATGATGGTGGTAAAAGAAAGACTGAAACTGGGAATCAGTGGTAAGTTCTTAACAGGAAACAGAGCCTGATTATTTTTTCTCCCCCTGAGGATTACCTGCTGCAAAAGAACTTTCTGGAAAAATGGCCCAAGTCAAGATTGTTCAAAAGACTCCAGTTGGAGAAACATTCTGTTTCCTTCTGTGAGCTGGCCTGGGGCATCCCTTCCTCCCCCCTTCCTCACCTAGTGGTCAGTGGAGGGACAGAACAAAGTCCTACCCCTTCCAACAGCTGCTCCATGGGCCCTGGGGGCCTCAGAGCAGATGGGGATCCACCCTGAGCCTTGTGTACCATGAACCTGAGCAGCTCTTCTTTTAGTCTTTCTCCGACGTGCAAGCCCAGCCCTGATGCCACATGTCCCCCTCTCTCCACCACAGATCTGCGATCACCATATTTCCCCAGAGGACCGACGGCAAGCACGATTTCCGCGTTTGGAACTCTCAACTCATTCGCTACGCTGGCTACAAGCAACCTGACGGCTCCATCCTGGGGGATCCAGCCAATGTGGAGCTCACAGAGGTATGTGCCCCCACCCCTCCCCCACACAGACTCTCATCCCCCAAACTCTCTTTATCCACAGACTTTTCTGCTTCAATATCATCAGAGAGAGAGTAGGCAGTAGGTGCAGATTACTCACCTCCAAACCTCCTGCTGTGTCTGCCTGCCTCCAGTCCAGCTGGTTCTGTTACAGCTGGTCCTTTTCATTTCATTATATCACCCAATCCTGATGATGGGAACTGTTGTCCCATTTCACAGATGAGTAGACTGAGTCCCACTCAGACTGGCCAAATGCATTATCCAAGGCTCCTGCAATAGCAAAGGGAAAGCCAGAAGTACAAGCCAAATCTCCTGCCTTCCCCTGGGAGGAGGGGAACTAATATGTGGAAGTCATATCTAGCATCATCTTTTCTTTTTTTAAAAAATACTTCTTTATTTGGCTGCACCAGGTCTTCGTTGCTGCATGTGGGGTCTTTTAGTCGATGTGGACTCTTAAGTTGTGGCATGCAAACTCTTAGTTGCGGCATGTAGGATCTAGTTCCCTGACCAGATTGAACTCAAGCCTCCCGCATTGGGAGTGCAGAATCCTAGCCATGAGGGAGTCCCTGGCGCCCTCTTTTCTGAGTGGGGTATATGTCAGCCTCGTCCCCTTCATCCTTTTATTCATGTCTCTGTACAGCATTTCTGCCCACCCACCCAACCCCTCTCCGGGTGAACTTGACTCTCCAACACCCCACTATTGCTGGCAGCTCAAGTCAGTTCATACAAGCCACTGGGAACACGAACACCACCTTCTCCCCATCCAGGTTCCTTCCAGGTGGTGGTGTACACAGGTAGCATAGGTACGGCCTGGAAGCTTCCAGCACCTGTGCCCACAGGAGGTATCATAGGCTGACCCCACTCCTGGAACACCTCAGGCATACAGGCCTGGTACCCCTTTTACTTGTCACCCACTCAGCCACCATTCTGCTTCATCCTTGTTCTTTTCTCAGACCACCCTCATGCCTCACCCCAGTACCTTCCCCATGAGGGAGCTGCCCCCCATCCTCTTGGCTGCCAACTTCATTTGCAGGGAGCTTTTCATGTTAAAATGTTATTATCCTGGGAAGGGGGTTGTAAGCAGGGCGACCAGGAGTCACACCTGTGCCATTTAGCCTCAGCCAGACTCTCTGCTCCACCTGGCTGAGCTCTAACTGTATACTTGGCTCACCCTGTCCTTGTGGCAGCCAGAACAGACATGCCACAGCCTCTTCCTCTCCTTCTGTCTCCAGGAGCCTCACTGATACCACATGCTCTCCTAAACCCACACTTCCGTGCTTCCTCTGTCCACCAGCCCAGCAGAGGGAATCACCCCAAACATAACCACATAACTGTAACTTTGGAAAGCCCCAGCATGGCAGCCACTGGCCGCACCTAGCCAGTGACCACATGAAATGCTGTGAGTCCAGATGGAAATGTGTCCTAAGTGTAAGGCACACAGTCTGCAAGATGGAGAACAAAAAAAGAGTGGAATAATCTCATTAGTAATTTGTATCTTGATTACCTGAAAAATATGAAAAACATGAAAAATAATGTTGTGGGTAATATGAGGCTAATTTATTTCTATTTATTAATAAATTAATACATTTATTGTATTAACACATATAGTTAATTTTATGTTAAATATCTTTAAATATATTATTTATCATTAATCAGTTAATGGTGTTTTAATTATATATTTTTATATTTTATTGAATTAATATTTTCATATTTAATTTTAGTGCCAAATATACTGTTAATAAGGTTTCCCTGGTGGCTCAGAGGTAAAGAATCTGTCTGCCAATACAGGAACCACGGGTTCAATTCCTGGGTTGGGAAGATCCCCCAGAAAACGAAATGGCAACGCACTTCAGTATTCTTAGTGGGGAAATCCCATGGACAGAGGAGCATGATGGGCTACAGTCCATGAGGTCACAGAATAGTCAGATACAATTTAGTGACTGAACCACACCACGTGTGTGTGTGTGTGTGTGCGTGTACGCTTGCACGCTTCTGCACCTGCTCAGTCATTCAGTCATGTCTTGACTCTTTGTCACCTGCATTGGCAGGTAGGTTCTTCACCACTGTGCCCCTATTAAAATACTAATATTATAGTTTATAGTTATATATGCTATCAATATCATATAATATATATCATTAATATTTTATATAAATAATATAATATTGATAACACTATTTTAATGTGGTTATATTATTCATATTTTATATTAATATTTTAGTATAGTATTAATAAATTACTACTACTATTTATATAATCAATATCATGCTATAATTAATAGCTAATTAAATATTATTTAAATTAAAACTGTTTTAAATGAATATATTATTTAAATTTATCTTTGCCTTGTTTTGCTTTAGAGTTTTGGGGTGTCTTTTTAATACGTTTTAAAATGTGTCTGCTAGAAAATTTTAAATTACTTGCATGGCTGGCTTTATATTTCGATGGATAGCTGCTGTAACAGGTGCATTTTTCTGTGGTTATTCTGAGAGATCTGCCCTCATCCAGTTTGGTAGATTTTCTTCATGTCTTTGCACTCAGGGCACCGAGTGCAAATACTGCCAATGCAAGTGTCAGTTCAACCCTTGCTCTGGGAGTTCCCAGAGGGCAGGGAAGGCCCAGAAAACATCACCAAGTGAGGGGCCGGAGGACAGGTTTGTCTTCCATCCCGTGGAAGAACGGGAAGTTGTACTAGTTACGGGATGATGTCAGGGAGAACTTCATGAAGGAGGTGGCCTGGCCTGGAGCCTCCAGAGGAAGGGGCCGCTGGGGGGCGGGCCCTGGGACCTCTGCCCCTCCCCTCACCGCTGTTGCCTCTGGAGGGCCTGGGGCTCAGTGGTCTGACCTGGTGGCTTGGCTTGCAGATCTGCATACAGCAGGGCTGGAAACCCCCACGAAGCCGCTTTGATGTCCTGCCGCTCCTGCTCCAGGCCAACGGCAACGACCCGGAGCTCTTCCAGATCCCTCCAGAGTTGGTGCTGGAAGTCCCCATCAGGCACCCCAAGTAAGAGGCCTGGCGTGGGGAGGGAGTTTACCCAGTGCCCCTCTCTGCCCAACCCCGGAGCCCGCTCCTGTCTCTCCAGCCCAGACACAGGCTGAAAGGGGGTTTTGGTTCCTATCCTCACCATGGGGCCAAGGCAAGGCGGGTTCCCTCGAGATCAGTAATTCCTCCTTCACCCGGAGGGACCATCATATTTTCTGAATCAAAATCCCCCTCCTTATAAGTCAGATAGAGAAAGACAAATACTATATGATATCACTTAGGTGTAGAACCTAAAAAATACAACAAGCTAGTGAATATAACAAAAAACAAGGAGATAGAGAATACAGACATAGAGAATAATAATAATAATGGTCCCAGTGGGGAGACGAAATAGGTGAGGGGCAGTAGAGGTATAGGAGATAAAGAGGTAAAAACCATTATGGATTAAATAAGCTACAAGAATATATTGTACAACGTAGGGAACATAGCCAGTGCTGTGTGCTTAGTCACTCAGTCATGTCCGACTCTTTGAGATCCCATGGACTGTAACCTGCCAGGCTCCTCTGTCCATGGGATTCTCCAGGCAAGGATACTGGAGTGGGTTACCATGCCCTCCTCCAATGGATCTTTCCAAGCCAGGGATCGAACCCAGGTCTCCCACATTGTAGGCAGATTCTTTACTTTCTGAGCCACCAGGGAAGCCTCAATATACCCAGTATTTTACAACAACTATAAATGGAATGTAACCTTTAAAAATTGTGAATCACTATATTGTACACCTGTAACTTATATAATATTATATATTGACTATACTTCAATTCTTTAAAAATTTCCCTCTTTACCCCACCCCTTTTAAGCCATCAACCTGGACCTATCCATTTTCCAACCCTAAGGGCTGAAGTTGGAGAAGGCAATGGCAACCCACTCCAGTGTTCTTGCCTGGAGAATCTCACAGAGTAGCCTGGTGGTCTATAGTCCATGGGGTCACAAAGGGTCAGACATGACTAAAGCGACCAACATACACACACACACAAGGGGCGAAAGAGCAGAAGCACTTCCTGTATTGTTATGGGTGCAAATTTTAAATAGAGGGAAGCATTGAAAACTATGTGACCTGATGCGGCTCAAGTTCAAAAGTAGTTTGGAGTTGGGATAGGGCTGTGAGGGCTGAGGCCAGCAACGCAAATAGAATTTACAGTTTTTGAGAGTAAAAGAACTCCACAATAAGACCTGGCCTCAGGAGCGAAATTGATGGAGAAAGCACCAAAAAAATCAGTCATCAAATAAATAGTATTTTAATGTAATTTAAAAAAATCAAGATTAGCTTTTAAATCCGTGATGCATAATGTATCAAAATTCTTAAACAAGGAAAAGTTCAGGACTGAGATTAAGGTAAGCCGGTGAGGTAAAATATACAAGTGCAGAGTGGGATCCTGTCTTTATGTAAAGTTTTGATGTTTTGTTCATCGTGGAGGTTTTGTGTTAATTTTTTTTTTAAAGACATTGAACTAATTTAGAATATTTGATCTTGATTACTGGGTTGGTGCCCCTCAATTTTGCACCCAAGGCCAGGGCCTTACTTGCCCACCCTGCTCCAGGCCCTGGAAATGGAGCAAGTGTCCTAAGGCTCCTGACACTGCCCGATATCTGGGAGCTCAACCAGCTTCAATGGTGAAACTTGGCCTCCATTCATTCATTCACTTATCATTCAAAACTGTTTATTATTCCCACTCTGGGTCATGCATTGTTCAGGCCTTTGTCACTGGCTTGGTCCCCACCTCTGTGGTGCTTTCAATCTCAAAAAGGAAATCAGTTACCCAAACAAACCACTTAATTCCAATCAAGTGTTGCAAAATAAATGTTCTGGTACCTAGAGGCATGAAAGTGTCTGACCCATCCCAGATTGGGCATCAGAGAAGGCTTCCCAGATTTAGCAGCATTTTAGCTGAGGACGAAAGCATGGTAAGAGCTGGACAGGCACAGGAGGAAAAGAGGAGGAAGAAACTGCCATGCAAAGGCCCTGAGGTCAGAAGGAACTCAGTGGCTCTATATTTAAAATGGATAACCAACAAGGACCTACTGAGTGGCACAGGGAGCTCTGCTCAATGTTTTGGGGCAGCCTGGATGGGAGGGGAGTTTGGGGGAGAGTGGATCCATGTAAATGTATGGCTGAGTCTCTTCACTATTCACCTGAAATTAACACAAAGTTGTGAATTGGCTCTACCCTAATACAAAACAAAAAGTTAATTAAAAATAGAAAAGAAAAAGGAACTCAGAGATGCTCGCTTTCTCCTGAATTCACCTTCCAGGTGAGTTTAGGGGATAGAGAGCAGCCCATGGCAGTGGTTCCCAGGCCTGGATGTCCATGAAGTCACCAGGGAAATATGTGAAAGTGCATATTCTCCAGCCTCTGATGTGGATGGCAGTGTGATTCCACAGGTCAGACGCGAGCCCAGAAATCAGGTTCCAAAGTAGTAAGCCCCAGTCAGTCACTGGCATTTCGGCATCCCCAGGCTAAGGAGGTCCTGCCCACGTGTCTTCCCCTGAGGCTCCCATCCCACATCCCACAGCAAGCTGGGCTGTGTTGCTCTCCACAGGCTCGAGTGGTTCAAGGACCTTGGACTGAAGTGGTACGGCCTCCCCGCTGTGTCCAACATGCTCCTGGAGATCGGCGGCCTGGAGTTTAGCGCCTGTCCCTTCAGCGGCTGGTACATGGGCACAGAGATTGGCGTCCGTGACTATTGCGACAGCTCCCGATACAACATCCTGGAGGTGAAGCCTTTCCCAGGCCATCCTGACAGGGGATGCATGTGGTGGGGGGCAATGGGCTCAGTGGTCCTTCCCCACAGCTGAGCTCTGAGGCTCAGAAACTGGAAGAAATTAACACAGAACCTGCAGCTATAAGGAAGCCTCTGGCCTTTCTGAAGGCTTCCGTGGCATTAAGAGTATGTGTGCAATATGCTGAGTGCCACTCCAAGCGCTTTGCAGATTATTGTATACTCATTTGATCTTCATCACATCCTCCGGGTGTGAAAATCCCCCCTTCACAGGTGAGGAAACTGAGGCCTTTTGGTGGATTAACATGACAAGTTCAGAGTCACACAGCTAGGGAGTGGCAGAGCTGGGGTGTGAACCCAGGCTGTTATTATGACCCAAGTTCATAACCATTCTACTGCCCTGCCTGTCAAGGTCAAACCTGGTTAGAAGCTTTGGGAAGGGGCATGAACTTGGGGCATTTTTGGTCTCTTTTCTGAAAAAACAAGGAGGGAGCGTTGGCAGTGATTTTTCCCACCATGTACATTTCTCAGTGGAGGGTCTGACTCCCCACCCCCCATTCCCCTGCTACCCCCACCCAGGCTGAGTCATCTTCATCTACTGAACATTGCTGGGGCGGACTGCTCCCTGGAGCTCCGCTTTGCTGAATGTGTCAGCATCGCTGCGGTTTTGTCAGCAAATGCTGTCTCTAACAACAGTCTGCTGTGGTTGGCCTTATTTCAAAAGAAAACACTGAGAACAGAGAAGTTAAGCCCTGAGCCGTGTCACACAGTAAACGGAGCACAGAGCAAAATTCGAATTCAGAGTCAAGCATTAGGTTTATAGTGTTAAAAATCCAGGGACATTCACCTGGGTGGACCTTGAGGGCATTATGCTAATGACATAAATCAGACATAAAAAGACAGATACTGGGTGATCTCACTTCTATATGGAATCTAAAAAAGCCAAACTCCATAAAACAGAGGTGAGTGGTGGTTACCAGGGGCTGTGAGGGGGTGGCGGGGAGGGTGGTTGGCAGGGGCAGGTGACAGGAGAACTGGGAAAGATATTTGTTGATGTGTACAGACTTGTAACTTGTAGATAAGTCCTGGAGATCTAATGCACAGCGTAGTTGTTATAGTCAATAATGATACCGTGTTATGAATTTCAAAGTTGCAGAGAAACTATATCTTAATGTCACCACAAAAAAAAGAAATGGTAATTATGTGACTGGATAGAGGTGTTAACTCACCCTACAGCAGTAATTATACTGCAATATATAAATGTTACCAAACCAATACCTCTGACATTTGATCTATACAAACTCCAAAGGAAAAAACATTTCTAGGCAATTTCCAGAGATGTAGCTCAAGTCATATTTGAGGATTTTTTTAAGTCATATGTATTTGACTTAATACATATGACTTAAAAGAAGTCATTAGATGACGCTGCAACTAATTTCTATTGTTTTAACCAAAATAATGTGGTACAAATAACAATAGCAGCATGACTGACTGTACACACTCTCATATAAAATAACTCAAGTTTTATATGTATTTATGTAAAGCAGCCAATTTCCTACTCTTTGCGTTTGTGTCACCGCTAAAAGACCCCCAAACAGAACCTAATGCCCCAGTCTCCAAAGAGTAAATTAATGTCTGCTTTCATGATTCAGGTTCACATTTCAATTGCAAAGAGTAGTCACTGGGTAACTTAAATGAGACTCGCTCCCGCCCCAGCCTTCCGACACTGACTGCCATTATGTACAAATGTTGACAGCTGGGCCCGCGAAGCAATTTACTCAAACTTGGGAAATTGTCACATTCTAGCCCCATAATGAGTCCTAGGTTCCCACAAATGACTAGAATTGACAGAGGAAGTGAGAAGCCAGGCTCTAATTAATGGATTTGCTATTGGGTCTTCCCTGCTTCTGACATTGGCTCCTACTGGAGCTGGAGCCGTAACTTAAATGTCAGGGGTTGTTTTTGCCAAGCAGTTTTGCCAAAGGAGTCAGCTGGCTGGGGAGCCGCTCCCAGGTCTTGGGTGTTACTCAACTCCCTGGGCTCCAGCTCTGAGGCCAACTGGCTCTGCGGACTGCAAGCAAGTCTGTGCAGCAGTCTTAACCTCAGTTTCCTCATCTGTCAAATGGAGTCGACAGGTGTCTCCATAAACTCTAAATACTCATGATCTAGATTACAAGTAGCGGCCACTCCAGAGATGAAATGGAATGGGTGGAGAGTTTTCCCCAATAGAAAGGAGTGATGATAAGAAAGAAAAGGAATTTAAAAAAAAAAAGATAGAAAGCAACTGCTATCACTCCCAGACCTGAATAGCTCCTTAAAGCCCTTCAAAGATCCTCCTCATCATATTTGAAATAAAATCCTGACCTCTTCGCACACCCTGCATAATCCAGTCCTGCGTCTCTCTTTTTCATCAGAGTCCTGCGTCCCCCTGACTCCCTACCATTCAAATACATTGACGTTCTTTCTGTATCTCAACACCAGCCTGATCCCACCCCAGGGCCTTTGCACATACTGTTCTTTCTGCCTAGAACATTTGCTCCCAAGATTTTCAAATGTCTTGCTGCTTCTCATCATTTGGATCTCATGTGTGTGCCACCGTTGCAGTGGTCCTTCAGTGACTATCCTGGTTCAGAGCATCCTGCTCTATATCCCTCTTTCTCCTAGTTCCTTGCCTTATTTTCTTCCTAGGAATTAACACTCATCACTGTATTATTTTCTGCCTCTCCCCACCTCTAGAAGGTAAGCTCAGTAACCAAAGGGCCAGTCAAGTCCCTCTAGTTTCCTGCTACCAGTATGTCCTCAATAAAAAAAAATTTTTTTGAGTGAATTAGTCTGCATATGAGTTCATTAATTAATGAAGAATTTTATTGGTGATGCTAGCCGAGTCCCTCTTTAGCCTGAAACCCAGAGGGAGCCCAGCCTGTGAGTCTGTGTTCCTTCCCCTTTCAGGATGTGGCCAAGAAGATGAACTTGGACATGAGGAAGACATCCTCTCTGTGGAAGGACCAGGCCCTGGTGGAGATCAATATTGCAGTTCTGTACAGCTTCCAGGTAGCGCCAGGGCACGCCTCCCGGCTGCCAGGCCACAAAGGGGAACTAAAAACGTTCAGAGTCGTAGGGCAGAAGGTGAAGAGCCCAGCTCCCAGGAACCTTGTTTGCAGGGCTCTGCTCATAAGCAAGGTGTCCTTCCCATCATGTATGCTTGACTCTCCATCATGGATCTTGGGGGAGGGGGACCATTTGAGGGAGAGACAAAAAGATAGAGGCTTTATGACTTGTTGCTTGATTTTTTTAGAATTGAAATGGTAAACATCCTCTGTGTCTTGACCTCTTAGACACTCAGACTTTCACATAGCAGAGACAAATATTCATCATCATAATCAGAGACATATAGGCCCCCCAGTGCATGTGGCTCCATGGTAAATGCTAAAATATATATAGTTGAGTTGTTGTTTAGTTGCTAAGTCATGTCTGACTCTTTGAAACCTCATGGACTGTAGCCCACCAGGCTCCTTTGCCCATGGAATTCTCCAGGCAAGAATCCTGGAGTGGATTGTCATTTTCTTCTCCAGGGGATCTTCCTGACCCAGGGATCAAACCTGCATCTCCTGCATTGGCAGGCGGATTCTTTGCCACTGAGCCACCAGGGAAGCCCATTATATATATAGTATGATGGTTTTAAAAATTATCAGCTAGGGAATTCCCTGCTGGTCCAGTGGTTAGGACTCCAAGCTTCCACTTCAGGGGGCCCAAGTTTGATCCCTGGTCAGGGAACTAAGATCCTGCATGCCATACAGCACAGCCAATAAAAGATTATCTGCTAAACCATGACACTTTAGAGAGCAAAGTGGGGGCACCACTAATAACTGTGACAGCACATGGGCATAAGCTGGGATTCTCTTGGGCAAAGCAGGAGACCCATAGAAGAGAGGTCACTTCCTGTAGTAGAGACCAGCTCTGTCTTCTAGGAGTGACAGTCTGCAGAGCTGGACCCTCATAGACATACATGGGAGGCACCCACAGGCAGTAGAATGAGCATATCAAGTCATATAAAGACCTGAATATGAACCACAGGTCCCCATGTCAGGAACAGGGAGACTGGGCAAACTGGGAAATGTATATCCCAGGGCAGAAACCAGCTGAGATGGGGTTGAAGGGGCACGAAGCCCCCTCCCTTCACTCTTGACCACGGAGGAGTGAAGTTTGGGGAGTTGCTGAAAATGAAGGCGGACGCTCTGGTGGTCTGGTGGACTGGTATGAAGGTTGACGAGCCGCAGACAGCAGAGATGTGAGAGGACATATAATATACTAAGTGTAAAACGGGTAGCTAGTGGGAACCTGCTGTCAGCACGGGGAGCTCAGCTCGGTGCTTTGTGAGGACCTAGAGGGGAGGAGTGGGGAGGGGGAGGCTCAAGAGGGAGGGGCTCGATGTGCACAGACGGCTGATTCACTGTACAGCAGGAACTGACACAACATTGTAAAGTAATTATACTCCAATTTAAAAAAAGGATTCTGTATCACCGTCATAAGTGGAGAACCAGTATCATTTGCCATAAACAGAAGAGAATGGTAAACTTCAATAAATACATAAACAAATACAAGGGAAACAGCACCAAGTTGTCAGATTCTAGTTGCCTGAGTTTCCTCTCTCGTTTAAAAAAAAAGGGGGGGGAGTAAGGAGAGAGGAATATTGGCAAGAGAAATGTTAAAGATGAATTAGCATCAAACAGAGTCTCTCTGGGCTTCCCTGGTGGCTAAGACAGTGAAGAATCTGCCTGCAATGAGAGAGACCTGGGGTCGGTCCCTGGGTTGGGAAGATCCCCTGGAGGAGGGCATGGCAACCCACTCTCGTCTTCTTGCCTGGAGAATCCCCATGGACAGAGGAGCCTGATGGGCTGCAGTCCATAGGGTCGAAAAGAGGCAGACACAACTAAGTGACTAAGCACAGCACAGAGTCTTTTTCCTGGATATGATCAGGATCGGAAAAAAAGACAATGCAGAGTATCGCTTACACTGCCTAGAATCATCCCCAGGATCACCCTTTAGGAAACACTTCTCTGGGGGTGAGGGAGCCCCGAAATAGCCCAGCGTGTCTTTCCTCTTGACTCCTGGTGTCCTCTCCTCCCACAGAGTGACAAGGTGACCATCGTTGACCACCACTCCGCCACCGAGTCCTTCATTAAGCACATGGAAAACGAATACCGCTGCCGGGGGGGCTGCCCCGCTGACTGGGTGTGGATCGTGCCCCCCATGTCGGGCAGCATCACCCCCGTCTTCCACCAGGAGATGCTCAACTACCGGCTCACACCCTCCTTCGAATACCAGGTCCACCCCTCTTCACCTCTTTGGTCCCAAATCTCCAATAGCCAGTGTGCATGCTACAACTAGAGCAGGGGTCCCCAAACCCCAGGATCTAATGCCTGATGAGCTGAGGTGGAGCTGATGCAATAATAATGGAAATAAAGTGTGCAATAAATGGAATGCGCTTGAATCATCCCGAAACCATCCCCCGCCCACCCGGGTCTGTGGGAAAACTGTCTTCTACAAAACTGGTGCCTGGTGCCCAAAAGGTTGGGGTCTGCTGGCTTAGAGCACATCTCAGTTCAAACTTGCATTTCAGACTCTCAAGTGCAGCCATGAGATTGGACAGTACAACTCGAGCTGAAAGACAAATGAAACTGAAACAAGTAGTCAGGGGTCATGAGTCAGAGAGGGTCTGAGTGGGAAGGTCTGGCAGGACAGTGCAGGGAGGCTGGGCCAGCCACTCTGCCAGGTCCCCCGGGGTTGCCGCCGGCAGACTCACTCCCTTCGAGGGCTAAGGGTTGGGCGTGGCCGGGCAGCCATAAGCCCCCAGGGTTCCTGGGCATCTCCCAAGGGGAACCAGGCTCCCTCACTGTGGTGACCATGGTTCTCTCTCCCCAGCCTGACCCGTGGAACACCCATGTCTGGAAAGGTACCAATGGAACCCCCACAAAGCGGCGAGCCATCGGCTTCAAGAAGCTGGCAGAGTAAGTCCCCTAAAGCAGGTAGGGAGGGGCGATGTATGTGTCCCTAAATTCAGAGAGCCCCAGAAAAGAAGGCTGGGAGGATGCTGTGCCTCTGACCTCTTGGGTAACGTGACTTCTCCATTTTCTCCAATACCCCTGTCCCTCCTTTGCCCCAGAGTCTGGGATGTGAACATTGCCATGACCGTTCTCCTTCCTAACCTCTCTTCCCACCCCCAGGTTCCCAAATTCTTGTCCTGGAGGCAGTGTTGTGTTGACAAACCAGCTCTGCTAATAATAATGGTGGCCCCAGTAATATAACATTAATAGACCTGTAACATTTGCGAATTTCCATGGTGTAAATATTCCCACCATAGCCAGTTTCAAGCTCCCAACAGGAAGTCACTGAAGCCAGAGTCAGGAGGAGCTGGGATGAGCTGGCTCCAGCACACCACTGCCTAGAGTGGACAGTCATCAGGGCTGAATCTCATCTCGCTCCTTCAGTTCACTCATCTGGCCAACAAAAATGGGTACTCAGTGCCAGGCACTGACAAGCCTGATAATATGATCCTGCCGGCATGAAGCTCACATCTACCTTCGAGGAAGGATCTATGGAAGTCCAGCATAGACGCCACCGAGTCTGAGAGGTCAAAGGGGGCTTCCTTCAGGAGATGCCAATTGAGTTAATGAATGAAATGAAGAAAGATTCCACTGAGAAAAGGAGGGAGGGGAGAGGGTTAGGGACCAAGGCCACTTTAGAGCTATTGTCCTGAAGAACTGTGGTCAGCCAGGGGACAAGTGGGGTGGGGCCGACTGAGATGGTTTAATGGGGACGCCTGCCTTCTGTCTAAAGACAGAGAACTCCCTGATCCACTCCTCACAGACCCCTTATTTTGGCAGAGGAGCTAGCGTGCACTGAGCTACTCACTTTCCTCAACCCCTTGGTTCTAGAACTCTCTCCTCTCTACAGGTGACTGGTAGATCTTGCAGGGACTGAAACCTAGGTCCTGGCTGCACCCATATGGTCCATGGGATCTCTCCTTCCCTCCCTCCTCTTTCTCCTTCTACCTAGCAGTTCTCTTCCAGCCAAGCTGGACCACATCAGCAGCCATCCCTTCCCTAACGAGAGCATCACCAGTTCTCAGGCATAGCAGCCTTTGGCTTCAGTTCAGTTCAACCTGTCTCTGAGGGAAGAAGGGAGGGAAAAATCTAAAGCATTAATTGCACTATTAAGTTTGAGGTAGAAACAATGGGAGTTGATTACAGATGCTTTTTTCTGCTCTGATCATTCAAAGGGAACCCTCCAGGTGCCTTTTATTCTTTTCTGTTTCTCCCCCTTAACTCTCAGGCAGCGTGGGTGGCTTCCCTGAGTCTAAAAAATGATGAATTTACCACCAATAATCCCCAGGTGAGGGTAATTAGCAATTTATCTACTCAAAGAGATTCCTACTTAGAACAGGGATGCTTGCTTGGAAGGTGAACACAGGCATTCCTGAGCCTCTGGCCCACCTGCCAAGCCCACACCCTCATAGATGAGAAAGAAGAAACACTGTTTCTGGATCCTCCATTTAACCAGAAAGAGTCCCGACTTGACATTTAAGCTCCCAGGGGCTTTGGTGGTAGCAGCAGGTTTAAAATCCATTCCTGCTCTTGATAGATATTTAGTGCCTATTAAGAATCACCCTTTGCAAAACTCTGGACGTGCAAGGCTGACTAAACCAGACCTGGTCCTTCTTTTGTGGAGTTATAAACCTCTAAAATCCCCTCAAGCTCAATGCCTGTTCATTTATTAGTGATTCATTTTCTCTCTCTGTCTCTCTCACACACACATAAGAATGGAAGCCCCATGACAGCTATTTCTCTGTTTTTCCATTCCTATAACAATGCCTGGCACATAGCTAGGCCTCAACAAAACACATGATGAGTGACCAACTGAGTGAATGGATGAATGAATGGTCATCTTTTGAGGCAATGCTTGGCAAACCAAGGTTCTCATGGCTGGGATCAATCCATCAAGTAACAAACTAACAAAGCTCACCAACCATGTTAGCTCATGACTAGTTGCTCTGGAGGGACTTAGGAAAGGGATCAATATGATGCCTCAACTCACACTTTGAGTATCTCTGATGCCATCAGAGATGAGGAGAGTATGTTCCCTCCTGTTGTATCTCATGGATCATGGTTCTTGCCCCCAAGTCCCAGCCTGACATCCTCCCTCCCTTCTACATTTCCTGTCTTTCTCTCCACCCTCTTCCCCCACAGAGCCGTCAAGTTCTCAGCCAAACTGATGGGGCAGGCTATGGCCAAGAGGGTTAAGGCTACCATCCTTTATGCCACAGAGACGGGCAAGTCGCAGGCTTATGCCAAAACCTTATGTGAGATCTTCAAACATGCCTTTGATGCCAAGGTAGGTAGCAGGCAGTTCCATTGCTCTCTGGGCCCTCCTGGTGAAGTTGGGGAGGGAACAGAGGAAGTCAGCAGAGAAGAACCCTTTGAGAGTGGGTAACAGCACATCTGAAGATGCCTGTCAGCCCACCTGCATGTATTTCAAGGGACAATGATGCCTCTCTCCCTGTGAACTCTTCAGGAGTTCAGGAATCATAACCCCCACTTCTAGACCAAAATGTTAGAAAGTTTCTGAAAAACAAATCTGGAAGTCAGTCTGGGAAGCCCCGCATTTAATACAATTCAGTGGGTTTGTTTGCTGCGGGAATTCTGAGAGCCTTTACTCTGCACATGTGTGTTACCATCTCCAAAAGAGGAGAGGAGAGAATATAAATGTTTCCCAAAGATGTTTGCTTATGGCTTACTTATTTTTAAAGCGCATCTAAGGAGACAGTGTTTTCCTAGGGCCTACTTTGAGAAATGGTACTCAAGGAATTCTAAGAGATAGGGCAAAGCGATCTTCAAGGTGAGCTTCCCAGGTGGTGCGCCAGTGCAGGACTAAAGAGACACAGGTTTGATCCTTGGGTCGGAAGATCCCCTGGAGGAGGGTATGGTAACCTACTCCACTATCCTTGCCTGGAGAATCCCATGGTTACAGGAGCCTGATGGGCTATAGTCCATAGGGTTGTAAACAGTTATAGGGCTGAAGTAACTTAGCGCACTGACGTGTTTGGCTCAGGTCCTCCACACTGCTGGAGGGAGGATTAGAAAGGAACCTGAGCACACAGTTGGTCAGATCCAGCTGGGTCATTCCCAGCCTACATGTGGTCAAGAAGACTCAGCATACTTTGGCTCTAAGAGGCCCAGGAGTCCCAATCAAGATCTGCCTCTACTGGTAGCCAACGCATTGCCCCAGACTCTCTGGTCCTTCAGGCCACAGGCAGCCCATACTACCAAGAAGCTTTTAGTTCTGTCCACGTGGGCCCATGGAAACAGTGGCACCCAGAACCTTTGGATCTCTGTCCTAAGGAGATGGCTCAAGATAACTCCTGTTCTTCCTCTCTTCTCTTCTTTTCCCCCATCACTTTTTCTCTCCTACCCCTTCTCTCTCCTCATCACCTTCTCCCTCTTCTCCCCTCTCGATCTCCCACCTAGGTGATGTCCATGGAAGAATATGACATTGTCCACCTGGAGCATGAAACTCTGGTCCTGGTGGTTACCAGCACCTTCGGCAATGGAGACCCCCCTGAGAACGGGGAGGTGAGATGAGCTCCTATTACCTGTTCTGGCACCTGTTTCCATCTGCAGAGAAGAGGGCCAGCAGTGACGCCTGCTCTTCAGTAGCAAATCCTCCCAGAGTCTCAAAGCCAGTGACCTCGATTTGGGTCCAGGTTGTGCCAAGACTGGACAACTCCAAGTCCTCAGTCTGTTGGCGTCCACTGACCAGCCGAGCCCTCCTGAAAATGTTGTCACCTGAGCTCACTACTTCTTTGGAATGGATGCTCCAGTCAAGAGCTTGGTGTCCCCTGCTCCAGATAAGAGAAGCAGGGACAATATTTTGTAGAAAACCACCACAAAGGGAATTTGCGTGCTGAGGTGGGGCGGGGAGTGGAGGGGGGTGGGCATCCACAATTATAGCCCTTTATAAACAGTCCTCTTCCACGCACACCACTGCTGCCTGGCCCAAGCCCCTGACACCCTGGCCCCCAGGCATCAGGCTCCTCTTTTGCCAGTTGGGACCCCCAGACCCTCTGCCCAAACCCATTCCCAATTTAATCATATCTGCCTCACATCCCGCTTGTCTCTTTCGACCTCCAGAAATTTGGCTGCGCTTTGATGGAAATGAGGAACCCTAACTCTGTGCATGAGGAAAGGAAGTAAGTAAATGACCCACCGGTGTCCCGTGGCACTCTGGGGGGGAACCGAAAGTTGTCTCTTGGCATCTGGGGTTCGCCTCTGAGTTCTGGATACTTTTGTGACCTGAAGTCCCTCTGTTACTTATTTTAGCCAGTGGGTGTCTGTGGTCTACTGAGGTGGACATTCTGGTCTTTAATCACCTTGCAGCCCTGTGCCTCAGTTTCTTTTTCCATCAAATTGGGTTTATTCTACCTGTGTGAACTTTCGAATTTGTAAGAATCAAGGTAGAAATAGATATCAGCATCCTATGAGAAGCTGTGCATGTGTGCTCAGTTATGTCCGACTCTGCAACCCGATGGACTGTAGCCTGCCAGTTTCCTCTAAGGGATTTACCAGGCAAGAATACTGGAGTGGATTGCCATTTCCTTCTCCAGGGGATCTTCCTGACCCAGGGATGGAACCCACGTCTCCTGCATTGCAGCAGATGCTTTACTGCTTGAGCCATAGGGAAGCCCCATGAGAAGTTAAGTGCCACGTAAATATAGTTCTTATTACTCCACCCTTTGGAAGCTTACATTCAGAATCAGAGCTTCTTTCCCTAGAACTTCTCTATCTGATGTTCATGGCAGAGTTGCATCCACTCATGTGGAGGCTGACTTCAAACAAGATACCTCCTAAGGCAAAGAAAATGCCTGAGGTCAAAAGATGTTACTGGTAAAACTGCACCTAACATGAGGTTGGGTTCTAAAGATATTTCATAAGGTGACAAACACTCGTAACCAAAATTACCCTTGAAAAGCCCTTAAATCCCCTCAAAGCAGAGAACAAACAACCTGGGAGTAATAAGCTGCCTTTCTTTGAGAGCATCACACATGGTGTTGCTTCCACCATGGAGTAGGTCTTAAGCTGAGCATTGGATGTCATCGCTGGCTGGCATTTTATTTGTTGTTTATTTTGTTTGGTTTTTTTAAAATGTGGGCCACTTTTAAAGTCTCTATAGAATTTGCTATAGTACTGCTTCTGTTTTATGTTTTGGTTTTTTGGCCAAAAGGCATGTGAGATCTTAGCTCCCTGACCAAGATTGGAACCTGCACCCCTGCGCTTGGAGGTGAAGTCTTAACCACTGGACTGCCAGGGAATTCCCTGACTGGCATTCAGAGGCTGCGTTCTGCAGAACATCCCTCTTGGTTCTCTTTCAGCCAAGCACACGTTGCCAAACTTGCCTACATCCCATACCCAGGGGACAGCTGAGTCCCTGGTCGTCAGCCCTCCTTCTGTTCTTAAGACCAGCATCTTATTCCTCACCCTCTCTGCCTCTCTCCTCCCCACCGCATCCTGGTGGCCTTCAGCAGGTCCCCCTCACCCCTCCTCCAGGGAGAGATAGGGCACCATCCATTCTCCGCTCTAGGTACCCGGAACCCTTGCGTTTCTTTCCCCGTAAAGGGCCTCCTCCCCTCTCCCGTGGTGACAAAGAAGTCCACGGTCTGGCTGCAGTTCGTGACAGCCAACGCAGGTAGAGCATCCATATGTGCACATGTGTGCGTGTGTGTGTGTGCTCACATGCATGTGTAGGATGCACCTGTGTGATCGTGCTTGCCCGGCGTTCCTCTCGCGCGCATGGCGATGAGTATGTACGTGTGCATGCCCGATGCTGCAGCATCGAAGGCCACTCCCCGGTCTCAAGGAGACCCAAGTTCTAACGCAGGCCGTGCCACTAACACACTGAGTAACCTTGAGCTTGTTACTTGGCCTCTCCGGGCTTCTCTATCTTTCTCACCTTCCAAATAGGGAGAAACTATCTCTGCCCTGACCATCTCTGGAAGCTGGTGCAGGGATCGAAGGATGATAACAAAGAGGAACACATTTGGAAAAGCCTCAAACCGCATACAAATACATGTGCTGATATTTTTACCCCACAACCATCAACCCTCCCTCCCACACTAACAACACAGCCACCCCCTGATATGTTACAGGACTTATTTGGAGATGTGACTCAATGTGAGACTATTTTAGGGCAGAAAATACACTTACATATATTTAGAACTTTCCTGATGCTGGAGCAAAAACTTTGAAGAACATCCAGCTTAGAAACCCTGCTGCCAGAATGCGCAATTTCTTTTTTTGTCTTTTGCACTCAGATTTGTGTGTTGAGTTTTTGTGTTTGGGGTTTTGATTTGAGCGTTTTATGGAAGTCTTTTGTTGTTGTTGTTTGGGGGTTTGTTTTGTTTTGTTGGTCTTGGAGTTTTTTTGGTTTGGTTTGGTTTTTGCCTTGTCTGAGAACAGAACTTACCACTTTTAGAGGAAAACTGGGAGACCGTTTTTGTTTTGTTTTTTTTAATTTCGAGGATCCTGAGCCTCCAATGCCAAGGTTTGAGTCCCAGTGACATTTTTCTCCTTCTTTGAAACAACATAAGAAATCCAATCTCTTTTCAGGCTGTGTCTGAACATTTTTCATGTTTATTTGAAATGTGAAATGTGAAAGACCCTTGAAATGTCTAAAGACGATAGCTTTATTGAAAGAGAATGTTGTAGTGGTTACCAGTGGAGAGAGGGAAGGGGAAGGGGTAAAATAGGGGTAGGGGATTAAGGGGTACAAGCTGTTATGTGTAAAATAAGCTGCAATGTTATATTGCGTAACACAGGGAATGTAGTCAATATTTTATTATAAGTGGAGTTGTTGTTGTTTAGTCACCAAGTGGTGTCCAACTCTTTTTCGACCCTGTAGACTAGTCCACCAGGCTCTTGTGTCCATGGGCTTTACAAAGCTAGAATACTGGAGTGGGTTGCCATTTCCTTCTCCAGAGAATCTTCCCAACCTAGGGATTGAACCCATGTATCTTGGATTGGCAGGTGAATTCTTTACCACTGAGCCACCAGGGAAGCCCATAAATGGAGTATAACCTTTAAAAATTGTGAATCACTATATTGTACACCTGTAACTTACAATACTGTATATCCAGTATACTTCAATTTTTCTGTTTAGGAAAAAAAAAAGAGACTGTTGAGTGAGACAGTCCTGCACTGCCCAATAAGCCTTTCTACACGCACATAAATGTTCTATGTCTGTGTCATCGTGTACATTAGCCACTAGCCACACATGGCCATCAAGCCCTTGATGTGAGTTTAGTGCACGTGGGGAGCAGAATGTTTCATTGTGTCCAATCTGAATGAATTTAAATAGTTACACACAACCCATGGCTACTGTAGCAGACAGCAGAAATGTAATTCTTTCATGGTTACTATAGCAGACTGCAGGAGTGTGATTCTTCACTAGTCGGTGTAAGATTTGGGGACCAATGGCATCTCCTGGGAACTTCTTAGAAATGCAGCATCATAGACCTTACTCTGGACCTACTGAGTCAGGATCTGCATCTTAACAAGATCCCAGAATGATTCTTTTCCTGGTTAACATGTGGGAAGTAAGGAAACATCGTCTAATGGGTTAAGGAATGGATAATTAATGTGGTCTGAAACCTTTTCCTTTTTTTTTTTTCAGTTTTAACATTTTTTAATTGAAGTATAGTGGATTTACAATGTTGTATTAATTTCTGTTGTACAGCAAAGTGATTCAGTTACATATACTCATTCTTTTTTAAATTTTCTTTTCCATTATGGTTTATCATAGGCTATTGACTATAGTTCCCTGTGCTATACAGTAGGACCTTGTTGTTTATCCTCTCTGTATAAAAGCTCGCACCTGCCAACCCCAACCTCCCACACCAGCCCTCCCCCGCCCCCTCCTCCTTGGCAACCACCAGTCTGTTCTCTGTGTCCATGATTCCGTTTCTGCTAAAACCTTCTCAACACACGTAGCATCAAGTGATGTCAAGGTGTCCTTGTGTTGGGCGAGGGTGAGTTGATATGTTCTGGCCAAGGCCACGGATGTGTTACGATCTCACTCAACACTCAAAGGAAGGCCCTGGAACCAGGACTGGTAACACAGACAGCCATGGGGGTGCTGACCCCAGGACGGGGGCTCTGAACCGGCGTTCACAGATTCCCTCTCGTCTTGGTAGGAGCTACAAAGTGCGTTTCAACAGCGTTTCCTCGTACTCTGACTCCCGCAAGTCATCGGGTGAGGGGCCGGACCTCAGAGACAACTTTGAGAGCACTGGACCCCTGGCCAACGTGAGGTGAGAGAGGGGCCCAGGGCATCAGGGGTGATGAAGGCTCTTGGGGAGCTGGACAGAGCAACAGAGTGGGCTCTCTGTTTGGGGAGGGGTCTCCCTTCTGTGTCCGTTCATCCCTTGAGGAACCAGCTGCACTCTTGCTGTTTGGGGATGTCCCCCTGCTTCATTAAAGCCCATTACCTGGATCCCTCCTATGACCCCTTCCCAAATCACACTCCTTCAGAGCCGCCATCACCCAAGTTTCATCCCTTTGCATGAATTTCATATCATTTGTGCTAAAGGATGCTAATCCCCCAGACGTAACTCAGCGAGTTCCCTTCATGAATGCTACTACATCTTATTTATTAGAAGCTTCTGGGGACACCCCACTGTGGCCTGATGGTTCCCAACCTCGGATGCTCATCAGAATCACTTGGAGATGTTCACAATGTACAGATACCTGAGCCCCACCTCCAGAGACTTTGATGTAGTTGGGTCTAAACTTGGACCCAATCTTCGCTTGTGTTTGTTTTTTTTCAATCTCCCTAATTGCCTCCAATGTACAGTCAGAGTCAAAAAAATATTGTCACAACCCCTTGTTTCCCAAAGCATAGTCATATCCCATAAGAACATTTTAGATAGTATGTGGACAGGTATTTTTTACTTCAGTGGTTGTGGATTCAGTTTCATGGGTATTTGCAAAGGAAGAAAACTGTATGTCAAACCCTTGGTTTCATAGATATTGGTCAAGATGAGGCTACTGTATAAGCAGTGTTCAGGCCCGGCCAGGAACCTCTTAGACCTTCACCAGTGCAACCTCCTCCTCCCCAGCTCAGGGCAGTGCTCAGAAGATGATGGAGATCACAGGCTTCCCAGATATTCAAGTATTGTTTCTATCAGCACACTTTTTTCTTTTTTGGCCTTACCACTTAACTTGATTGGTTGGCGTCACCGACTCAATGGACATGAGTTTGAGCAAGGTCCAGGAGATGGTGAAGGACAGGGAACCCTGGCGTGCTGCAGTCCATGGGGTCGCGGAGTCAGACATGACTGAGCAACTGAACAACAAAGACCTAACCGCTAGGCCACCAGGGAATTCCCCATCAGTACACTTTTTAATAAACTTTATTTTTTTAAAGTAGCTATAGGTTCACAGCAAAATTGAAGGGAAGGCACAGAGATTTTCCGTGTACTACCTGCCCAACCCTCAGTGCGCGTGTACACACACACACACACACACACACACACAACCTCCTCCATCATCAACATCCCCTGCCGTGGTGGTACATTTATACAGTTGATGAACCTGTACTGACACATCATTGTCACCCAGGGCCCATAGTTTGCATTAGGGTTCCCCCTTGGTTCACCCTCGAACTGATGGGTTTTGACATCAGTTCATGTTCTTTAGCTTGACATTGAAACATCCATGGTTTGACAATCAGACCCATTTTTCCCTTATTAAATCTATCATGCCCAAGAGCAGGGGTTGGCAAACTGCAGCCCATGGGCTGAATCCAGCCCAGCCACTGTATACTTCTGTACAACCCAGAATGGTTTTTACAGATGAATATCTACAATTTAGTTAATGATAGAAAATATTCCCTTCAAGCCCCAATTAAGCAAAATGCTATACCCCCCTCAAAAAAGAATTCCATTCTTCTCATTAGTAGCTATATATAACTAGAAAAATGTACCCCATAACTATTGCTATTATATTTTTAATTTTATCCAAAATCACATAGAAATTTATTTTCTTCCTTGTTATACAGATATCTGCATAATAGCATCAATTTTGCTTCTTAGCCTACAAGCCTGAAAATATTTACTATCTAGCCCCTATTATGATAATTTTGCCAAGTTTTCTGGTTTGGAAGCTTAAAATAGGAATTTGCAATCATAAGGTTTAGACTGTGATGAAATGTGTATATAGGAGATGACTGTGACACAGGCCTTGAGATGCATTGGGAAGCATGTTAATGAATTAATTCCCTGGGCCGTATCTTAGTGAACACCAGTGGGTTTGAATAGCTAGTACAAATAATTGTACAAATAATTTGTGCAAATAGAGTACAAATTAAAAGCAAATTAAATAGCAACTATTAAGTAAATAACAGTGTGAGAGGTAGTCAAGTATGGCAGATATCTCAAACATAATCAATATTGGAGCAACTTCCCTGGTGGTCCAGTGGCTAAGACTCTGCACTCCCAATCCAGGGGGCCTGGGTTCAATCTCTGGTCAGGTAACTAGATCCCACATGTCACAACTAAAGATCCTACATGCCACAACTAAGACCCAGTGCATCTAGATAAATAAATAAATATTAAAATAAGTAAATAAATAGAGGTTTGGGGAACAACTCCCTAACCACAAGGCATGACTAGCACTGAGTTTTCAAACCTGCATTAGGCTCAGGCCTTGGCTGCGGGCAGGAGTGCAGCTTCCTGGCCCCCATCCAAGCAATCCCATGCTGGCCACCAGTTCTCACCACCTGCAGGGAAAAGGTGAGGAATCCAAGTAAAGGAGGATTGTGGGTGAAGGAGTGATGGGAAAACATGCTACCTAATCCTACATCCCTCCCTTGGGAAGACTCTGGAACACCCAGGAAAGAAGGGCAGGAGGATAAGATGAAGAAGGATCAATGTGGATTTCAGAGGAGGAGATATTACTCTGTTAACTTTCACATGATCTCTTGAGACACCTGGACCCCATCTCAAGCTCATTCTCCAATAGCAAGAGGGTCCCTTCCCAACTTGCTCTGCTGTTTTCCCCTCATCCCCCATTGCAGTCTTTCATGCGATGGCTGGCTCCATCATTCTTTAACAAGAAAGAGATTCCGGGACAGAGTCAGACTCTGTAAGGAGCCAGTTAAACAGCTCCACTCCTTGACTTGTCTGAAATGACAGTCGCCCACAGGATAGTCACATTCCAACCTGGAAAAAAAAAACGCAAGTTGGGGTGTTGTTCGTATCCCACTTGTTCACTTGTCCATCTAGAGCCAGTGAGGTCAAGACCCACAGCCAGGACCAAGTCCTGGAAGTGTGATGTCAAGTCTCCGCAGGACTGGGGGGTCATCTGGGATACAGCCCTCCACTTCCCAGACTTCAGAAAATTCTCATTAACTTGACCCCCATCAATTCAAACACCAACATTTTCTTGTGGCATCTATGCAAACAGACATTTTTTTAAATTAAACTTTTTTATTTTGTACTGGGGTATAGCCAATTAACAAACAAGTGTTGTGGTAGTTTCAGGTGAGCAGTGAAGGGACTGAGCCATATATATACATATATCCATTCTCCCCCAAGCTCCCCCAAACACCCCTCTCATCCAGGCTGCCACATAACATTGAGCAGCATTTCACATGCTATACAGTAGGTCCTTGTATTCATTTTAAATATAGCAGAGTGTATATGTCCATTCCAAGCAAAGAGGCTTTGTGAAACAAATCAATTTCACAGACACTGCAAAGGGTGGAGCCAGCATATCTATAAATCTTTCAATCCCTTTTAGAAGAACCTGTTTACACACCAACACTGGAATGTATTAATGACAGGTTCTTCTGATCTCCTTGTTAGCACATGTCCCCAAGAACTGTTATGCTAGAGTTTTCATTCCCTTTGTACTTGAAACTAATTTAGTTGTATCCTGAGTAGAGTCAAGTCTTCCACCGATGTATTGAGTTGGCCAAAAAGTTCATTCAGGGTTTTCCATGATGTCTTACAGAAAAACTCAAACGAACTTTTTTGCTAATCCAGTAGATTTATTGCCCCAATTAGTCCAGCTTGGAAAGGGACACTCAAGAAATAGCCAATGGTCCTGGGTCACCCATCCTCCTAAGGACCAACTGGGAGTTTTCTCCTGAGGACAGTGGTACCTAGCAGAGACCAGAAGGAAGGGAGAGCAGGGTTTAGGGGCTCCCAGGCTTAAAGATGGCCTTCTCCAAATGGGTTTGGGGTGGTCTAACCACCAGAAGCTAAACACTGCCCTTCTGAGGTACCAGTTGTCTTTATCTGCTTGGGCAGCCATCACAACGTACCACAGGCTGGGGGCCTCGACAACAGAAATTTGTTTCTAACACTTCTGGAAGCTGCAAGTCCAAGATCAAGGCTTCTGGAGAGGCCTGTCTTCCTGGCTTGTAGACATCCTTCTTCTTGCTGTGTCCTCACGTGGACTTTCCTCTGTGAGCCTGTCACTGGGGGTGGAGAAGAGAGCTCTCAGGAGCCTCTCCCTCTTCTTAGAAGGATCAGGGCCCCACCCTTTTGACCTCAATTACCTCCTTGAAGGCCCCATCTCCAAATAGTCACACTGGGGGACAGGGCTTCACATGTGAATTTATGGGGACGTAACAGTCCATGACACCAGAACCCCTGCTGCATTCTCCCCAGCCCCCTATTCTAGACCTTCTGTTGTCTTCTTGATAGGTTCTCTGTGTTCGGCCTTGGCTCACGGGCATACCCTCACTTCTGTGCCTTTGGACACGCCGTGGACACCCTCCTGGAAGAGCTTGGAGGAGAGAGGATCCTGAAGATGAGGGAGGGGGATGAGCTCTGTGGGCAGGAAGAGGCTTTCAGGACCTGGGCTAAGAAGGTCTTCAAGGTAACCATCTGCCCCAATCTTAGAGACCCATGGGGAGGAGTCATGTCCCCAGGACCCCCAAGGACAGATCACCTAAACCATCAGAAATAGAAAAAACTTGAGAAAATCTTTGGTACTTCCCTTATGTATCCAACCAGGAGACAGCTCTAAACAAGTCAGATGACTTTGAGTGGTCCCGAGACACATTTTCCACCTGGAATCCAGCCTCCTGTATTAAGGGCAAAGAGTTGGTCTATAAAAAATTATAGAGCCTTGGAATTTTAGAGTCATCCTTCACTCACATTCCATAGACAAGTAAATAAAAACCATACAGTTGGTTAACCAATCCAGGGGGCCATGCCTCGGGCTGGATCTCAGATCTCACCAATCTGTCTGCTTTCACGATCTTGTTCCTCTGGTGCTAGTTCTGCAATGACCTGTACGGTAGCCACTGGCCACATGTGGTCATTTAGATTTAAGTGTAAACTGTTTAGCATTCATGATGAATGGATGCACAAAATGTAGTGTGTCCCTGCAATGGAATGTTCGAGCACAACAAGGAATGAAGTACTGATGAATACATGTGCTACGTGAAAGAAGCCAGACACAAAAGGACACTTACCGTCTGAGTCCATGTAGATGAAGCATCCAGAACAGGCAAATTCAGAGAGACAAGAAGTAGGCTAGTGATTCCCAGGGGCGGGGGAGGCGGGGAGAGGAAAATGGGAGTGACTCCTAACGGGTATAATGTGTGCCGCAGGCAGCCTGTGATGTGTTCTGCGTGGGTGATGACGTCAACATTGAGAAGGCGAACAACTCCCTCATCAGCAATGACCGCAGCTGGAAGAGGAACAAGTTCCGTCTCACCTACGTGGCGGAAGCTCCGGAACTCACACAAGGTACCTCCTACCACCCGCCGGGAGAGACATCCAAGACCCTGGGGTGGGGAGGGGAGACGGCAGTTCTCACCTCCGAAAGGCCCTTAGAGAAGGTGGGCTTCGTTGCTTCGGTCTCCCTCGCAGTGCATACGTGTGTGCTCAGTCGCTTCAGTCGTGTCCAGCTCTTTGCAACCCCATGGACCGTAGCCCACAGGCCTCCTCTGTCCATGGGGTTCTCCTGGCAAGAGTACTGGAGTGGGTTGCCATGCCCACCTCCACCCAAATAAACACGTGCAGGCCACCCAAATAAACACGCTGTTGCTGCTCTGGGCTTTCTCTCTAGCCCTGCAGCATGTTACCCTAAACCTCCTCTTCTCTGCTAAGTTCAGCCAGGTTTGCTTTCTGTTCTGCTGTATCCACAACCACCCACCCCAATGCCTGTCTGACCTCTTTTCTTTTATCTCTTTGCTTCACTCCAGAGGGTCAGGAGAAGCTGGAGACTCTGTATTGACAACTGTTTTACCCCATCTCAGGAGCACCTTTGTTCTTCTCCCCCCAGGTCTATCCAATGTCCACAAAAAGCGGGTCTCAGCTGCTCGACTCCTCAGCCGCCAAAACCTTCAGAGTCCAAAATCCAGGTAGGAACATACTGGTTCCCTCGGGTTCCCCGCCTCTGCCCCAGATGCCACCCACAGCAAGGAATGAACCCTTGTTGGCTCCAGGGACTGACTTCCTATTACCATTGGAAGGGTCCTCCAGACCCCCTTTGCTGCCTTGCAGCATCTTGGCTTCCTGCTTTCCATTTGCCAAGCTCCAACATGCAGGGATGAAAAAAGTAACTGGTTGGGACATCCCTGGTGATCCAGTGGTTAAGACTCCAGGTTTCTACAGCAGGGGGTGCAGGTTTGATCCCTGGTTGGGGAACTAAGATCCCACAAGCCACTTGGTACATCCAAAAAGAAAAGAAAAAAAAATGAATGGTGACGATCTCTGTGGAAAGGGGAAAGAGAAAGGTTTTATGAGGAATTTTTTTTAATAGAGACCACACCTTCGTCAAACTCCTAATATTCACTCTAATGTGTACCTTAGTCAGAAATCACTTAGTCCAGACAGCTCATCTTTGCGGATAATTCTTCTCTGGTGTCCTGAGAAATGCCTGCTCAGTCTCTACTTTAAGTCCTTTGGGAGGACGGGAGGTTTATTAACCTACAAAACAGCCCCTTCTGTGTTCTGAGGTTCCAGTTGTTAGAAATTCTCTTCCTATTGTTTATAACCAAAGCTTGTGTTCCTAGCACTTCCATTTTGGTCCTATGTTACACTCTCCAGTGACACCTAAAACAAAGTCACTTCTTCCAAATGAGAGAGCTGCCAATAGCCAAGGACAGCAAGCCACTCTCCCTGATCCTTGTTCCTTCCAACTGTTTCTCCTGAGACCCGGTTTCCCAGACCTTTTGCTGTAGTAGAAGGACACTCTGTCCTACTGGAAATGTCATCCTCGGACCTGGTCCCAGCGCAGTGGAGGGCCTGTGATCATTGCCAAGTGCGCCGAGGCTATTATTACCATCCTCAGTCCGGACAGGAGGTGCTAAGGTGGCCCAGGGTTGTCCTAACAGCCTTGCCGCTCTCCCATTAAGCTTATGTCCTTTCTGCTCTCGGACCTGAATCTTTTCAAAATGATCAGGCCAGATCTCTGCATCACTCCATGTGTAAGTACATTTTTTAGCTGTTACAAAAGTCTTTGCCTGAATCCCCATCGGATGGAATCTTCTTCACTTAGCAGTTCTAGCCCATGAAGGTCTTTTGAGATCTTCGTTCTTTGCATAGCGTGGTGCAAAGGATGGCCTCTCGAGCCAGACCACCCTGGGTTCTTACCCCGGTGCTGCCATCCTTCAGCCCTGTGACCTTGGACAAGTCCCTAAGGCCTTCAGAACACCTGTCTCATTACCTAAAATGAGAACTAGTACTTATCTAGTAATTTTTGTGTTCCGAGCACAGTTTTGAGGTCTCTCTGTGCAGGCTCTCCCAGAGTTCGGAACAGCCCAGGAAATAGGTACTGTTATCACCCATGTTTTAAATAGGAAAAATGACAATTAGAAAATGCAAGTGACCTTTTTAAGGTCACACAGACTCAGTTCTCTGACTCCAAAGTCAAAACGCCAGATGGCTATACCTGTGGCATCAACAGCATCACAAGACTGCTATATTAAAAACAACACACACAAAGCAGCTAGGGTATCCTATGTTTCTGTTACTATCCTTTATCCATCCCAGTTTCATACATCTACACATTTCAATATGTGTGCTTTCTAGGTGGATATAAAACCTTTTCTTCAGTTCAACTATAGTTGATTTACAATGTTGCATTAATTTCTGTTGTACAGTAAAGTGATTCAGTTATACATACACATATACATTCTTTTTAAATTTCTCTCTTATTATGGTTTACCACAGGATATTGAATATAATCCCCTGTGCCATACAGTAGGAACTTGTTTATCCATTCTACATAAAAAAGCTACTTCTGTGAATGCCAACCTCCCACTCTATCCTTCCCCAAACCCATTACCCCCTTGGCAACGAAAAGTCTGTTCTCTATGCCTGGATGTAAAACTTATGATAAAGTGGTCAATATGGTCAACAGGATGGAGCCCCAGAGTGCTCATGTTCTCCCCCAGACCCTAAAACACTGAAGAAATGGATTGGGAAATTAATGTAATTGAATAATTAGTTACATGTAATATTCAGAGCATGATAATCTCTGATATATTGGGTTGGCCCAAAAGTGAATGAACTTTCTGGCCAACCCAATAGAAAGGGACTCTATATTTGAAATACACATCTTACTCCCTATTTCTGTCCCTTGGAAAAGTACAATCTCAGTGGCATTGGAAAAGAAGGGACTAAGAATCTACTGAACATTTCTCTCAGCTACCAACCATGAAAGACCAGATGATAAAAATTACTCCCAAACCATAGCACATAAAAAGCCAGGTAATTTGCAAATGTTTTGATGCTAAGCTGGACCAAGTCCCAGAATAAACACCCCCCACCCCCCGCCACCAAACCATCCACCTCTGGAAAGGGCAGCTGACTCTGTGCTGAGTGACTTGCAAGAGGGCATTTCAGAAAGGTTAGTAACCAGAAGATAGTATTAAAATCAGTTATGGATTAGCTTTAAAAGAATCAAATGGGGTCTCAGTGTTTAACCCTTTAAAACCAGACTCCACAGCACTACCTATTTTCAGGCCTTACTACCCTGTCCAGCTTTATAAGGGGTGTGTGTGTGTGTGTGTGTAAGGATTGAGTAAAAACGTATGACCCTTTCTCCCATCTTCCCCTGCCCACAGCCAAAGTCAAGATGTTTGAGCCAGGAGACCACATTAAGATATTATGAAACACCCTCCCCACCCCGCTCCCACCCATAACAAAAGACCCTTAAGCAAACAAAGTGCTTAAGAGGAAATAAACCACCTTTTGAGGGTGATCCTTGCAACTCTAAAGAGAAAAGCGACTGACCGCAGTTACTGCCTGGCCAGGAAATAAACTTTTCTGTGTGCGGCAAGTAGCAAACAATACAGAAAAGAGTATAATGGAGCACTAATGGGTGGGGTATGGGCCACATAAGTCCTAGAAGTCAGGAGGAGAAGGGGAGACGCTGGGTCGGCTTTAGATAAGATAGGGAACAGACAGGGCCATCTAGGAGCAAAGATGCTGAAAGGGCCCGAGTGCTGTGGTACATCAGAGAAAGATGGGACATTGTAATGGACATTGAATGAACATTCCCATTGTTCTGCATGGGAATACTCTCAATTTCCAGCTCCTCTTGGATAAAATCACTTCTTTACAGCCTTCCCCATCTCAACACAGGACATCAACATTCAGTGTAAGCCCCAAACTCAGGCTTCCTCTCTGCCTCCTCTGTCTCCCTCCTAATATCCATCCAACTCTCAGCTGATACAGTGGGCTTGTCTTTCAAATACATTTCAGATCTACAGCCGCCACCATAAGACAGGCCACAATCATCTGTGGTCTGAGGGCCTCCCAAAGCCACCTAACTTGTCCTTCTTGTTTCTTGCCTTTTTTCTCAAAGATTCATCTTCCAAATAGCAGCCAGACTAATCTTTTAAGAACGTAAATGGAAACCCATCCTCCTGAAGCTTCACACCCTCCAATGGCTTCCCACTGATCTCAGGAAACCTCCAACCTCCTTGCCTGGACAGATTACAATGAGACCCTCCTGATCTGGCCTCTTCCTAGCTCTCTGACCTCCTCCTGTGCCACTCAGCCCTGTGTTGACCCCCTTCCAAACCCTCCAGCCTTCTTTCCCATCTTCGGACATGTCATGCTTTTTCCACCTCAGGGCCTTTGCATGTACTGCTCCCCCTTTCAGGAAACTCTTCCCCCAAATTTTTGCACGTCCCCTCCTCCTCATCGTTCAGATCTCTGCTCCAACATCAAATCACCAGCGAGGCCTCCCCGACCATCCTTATCTGCTGGTCACTGAGCCCACTGCCCCCAACCTGTCAGCACCCACCCATCCACATCACCAGCCCCATCCATGATCTTTTTCAGTTGCTTCTCAGTGAGAATGGGGCCCTGTGTTTTCTTTATCCATCACTCTCTCATCAGTGCCTAGAAAGTGTTAACAAATTTGTTGAAGCTATGAGCCTTATCACCTCAAACTGCTCACAAGAGACCATGTTTACTCTTTTCATTGATGAATGAACAAACATGAGCTGTTTCCCACCGCCCCCCCCCCCTTTTAATGCTGGATGTTAGCAGACTGCTCTTTCCCCTGTGAACCTGTCATTGAACCATTGCTAACTGTGTGTGTGCATGAGGGACTGTGCGTGCGATGTTGCTGTAGGCGGATGTAAATACGTCACAAGCAGGCCACACTCAGGGGACGGGCATTTGAATGGCTGTTGCCTTTCCAATGCTACCTTTTTTCCCCTCTCCAAATAGTTACTTTTTTTTAAGCTTGGGAAAGGACTTTTTTTTTTGCCCGCGCCATGTGGCATGCGGGATCCTCTTTCCCCGACCAGGGATTGAACTCATGCCCCCTGCAGTAGAAGTGTGGACTCTTAATCACTAGACTTCCAGGGAAGTCCTTCCCCTAATACTTTCCGACAACCCATGTATATCCCAAGCTTTTTAAAAAAAAAAAAGAAAAAGATTAGAAAGTCCCATACTTAGAAATCCCCAGCAGAACAGAGATATAAGACAGTAGGTCTCCAGGCTAGTGCTACCCACTGGGGGATCAGCTCCCAGCAAAGCTTCAAGGACCAGCCCACAGAGCGGTCCTCAGGCCATGCAGCCATTCACTGCTGGGGTTCTCCAGTCAGAGGCGTGCACAGTGTCCGTGGTCCAACTCCCAGCAGAGCCTGCCCCCCACCTCGTGGCCCACAGGGCAGGTCCATCCTCATCCCTGCCCCTTCTCTGCCTGACCACCCTCAGCCGCGTTCAAGAGGACTTAGGGGAAACGGCTGTGAGCACAAGCCAGCTCAGCAAGTTTGGGTCCTCCACGTTTCTATTTTGTACTGGCCATAGGAACAGAGGCAAATATACTTCTGAAAAAAACAACAACAACAACAACTCGTGATGATCTGGGAGAAAGTGGGAATTAATTTGTGGGCCTTTCAAAGACTTCCCGGGGTTGGCACTGGAGGCTCCCAAATTCTCAACCCCACAGCGCCCCCTGCTGGCTGTCAGCCTCTGCTCAGTCCCTTCCTGGAGCTGGCAGGAGGGTGACATGTCTCTCCAGCTCTCCAGGAACCGATAGATTGGCATGAGCTCAGAGCAGAGTCATTCACGCAAGCCCATTTAATAGATAAGATCAGTGTCCCAGGGAGGGCAAAATCTTCCCAGGGAAGGAGAGTGGGAGCCCAGACCCCCACCACCATCATTCACAATCTCAGTCACCGAGTTCCCCACCCTACTAAGGACAGGGGTGTCGTGCTTCAAGAAAATACACCCAAAAAAGCAGAGATGCCAGCACAACTATTTTTAATAATGGTGGCTATTTGCAGCACAAAAGAACTTTTGGTTGTGCCAAAAACTCCTTCAAATAGCGAGTCCCATTGGTCTATTCAAGTGCTGATTTACATACCACGAAGAATGTAGAAACTTCATGTTGAATATCAAGTGTCTCTATCAACTGAAAACCAGTTGGCAAGGAAGAAAAAATGGATCAGAAAATGCGAATGTAACTCCAAGAATACAAAAAGATTTGATTTACCCAAGTGTAGTCATCAATCCCAAAGTTTTCAGGCATAAAAATGCAGTGTATTGGTACTAAAACTTTAAAAGAACCAGAATAATCCTATTCTGAGGATTCATTCATAGACCTCCTGCACTTGAAATCCAACTATCGAAGGAAAGGGCATGACTCGGCAGGCCTAAACAAGTTTCCCTCTGGGTTTTCTCCTTTGTTCTATAAACTTTATAGTATCAGTGGATTGGGGATAATAAGAACCTGAGCTTAAGGTCAAGCCCTTTTCCCTTTTCCAGGACAAGGTGAGGACCCCAGTTTGCAAAAGGAGGTGAAGCTTTGGATTCCCAGGAGAGGTGGAGTTTCACAGAATGGGGACATCACTGCCACGGCTCCAGTGGGGTTTAGTGGTTCCTGGTAGAAATCGGGTATCAAAAGTAGAGCCTGTTCCAGCAGCTGGTTAACCCTGAGGGTCTGAGGTTCCTTCAATCGATAAATATTTCTTGAGTATCTACTGTCCTAGGTGCTAGGACATGCAGTGTCCTAGGTGCTAGAATAGAGCAGTGGAGAAAATAGACAAGTTCCTTGCCCTCTAGAGTTTAGACAGATTCCTAGTCCCCTCTATTGTCCTCAGGGTGGGGATGGAGAAGGGGCAGGCAGAGAGACAGACCACATGCCATAGGATGGAGTAAACTCTCCATACTATGGAGTTTGGTAAGCGCTGTGGAGAAAAGGAAAACAGGGACAGGAAGTCAGAAAAGCAAAAGGAAGTCAAAAAAGCAAAAAAGCAAAGATTCACCCTGGGACTGAATCTCAGGGTGCTCCAATGTCCAGAGTTAGGGGAGATGAGATGGAACCAACAAAGGGGACTGAGGAAGAGCAGCCAGAGAAGAGACGAGGAGTGCCTGGGGAGCTGGAGAGAAGGGGATTGAGAAGGAGGAAGTGAGAAGCCACGTCCAGTACTGCTCTGATGAGCACAGTGAGCGCTGGGAACTGGCTGTTGGGTTTGCAAAGAGGAGCTCATGGGTGACCTTGCTGAAACCTGCCCTGTGGAACTGCTAGGGGTGGAAGTCTGATTGGCCTGAGCCCCAAGGAGAATGGAAGGAGGGGAGGTGTAGCCACAAAGACAGAGGAGCAAAGAAAAAGGGGCACAAGCTGGTGGCCCTCAGCCTGTTGTTCCCCAACCCTTCCCTCCAGTCGATCAACCATCTTCGTGCGTCTCCACACCAACGGGAATCAGGAGCTGCAGTACCAGCCCGGGGACCACCTGGGTGTCTTCCCCGGCAACCACGAGGATCTGGTGAATGCCCTGATCGAGCGACTGGAGGATGCCCCCCCTGTCAACCAGCTGGTGAAGGTGGAGCTGCTGGAGGAGCGGAACACGGCTTTGGGTAACTATGGCCAAGCTAGTACCCCACACAGCCACTCCCAAGGGCCCTTTCCTTCTCCCAGGAGTCCCAGGGTCTGTCTGGGCCTTCCCTTCCCCAGCGGGTATCCAGGGAAGAGGAAACCCATTCTTCCCAGTTGCCAGTCCAGGCAGGAGAGTGGGTCTCTGTCACCCCCAGCTTATGAGACTGAAGGTTCCCCTTCCTCATGGCTGAACAACCTTGACCCAACTAGCTGAGCAAGTGTCCATTTAAGCCAGGACACCGATGGTTCACCCTTGAGGGGAAGAGTCTTACCTTCCTTCATCGGCTAGACACCAATCTTAGCAAAGGCTACTTGTCTGACTTCCTTCATCACCCCAGCCTCACCGCCCAGTGAGAGAAATAGCAGCTGAAGTCCACTCCTACCTTCTCTTAGAATCCAAAAGCACTATATGAAGCTCAGTGGCCCATTGGGATTGAACCCGATTTCTGATATCATTAGATCAAGTCCCAACCTGTTTGGGGGACCACGCTTGACATTCCTATTAAAGAACTTTGCAAGGCAAATGGGTCTACGTGCTTCATCTCAGTAGCCGTGAGTGAGCTCAGGACTTAGGGAACTGCAGTGACCACACGTGGTAGCCCATGATACAGTGATACATCTCCTCTACAAGGGAGTCAGGACATAAAGTCAGGGCAGAATGTGAAAACAATACGTAGTCAAAACCATGCTGAACATCCCTTAGGAAGGTACCGCTTTGGAGAGACACACCTGCTCTTATGAAATCCAACCCAGCCAGTTCTTCCTCCACGTTGGAACAGTACTTTATATCTTAAGTTGAGCTCCTGATGGAGTAAAGGCTTGTGTGCAGGGATTCTATTGGACTGAAGCACACAGAGGCAGTAGTTCAATCATGGTCTGGAGCCGTACTGCCTGACTTTATGAATGTGAGCTGTGTTGTTCTTGCGCTCGGTCGCGTCTGACTCTCTGTGACCCTAGGGGCTGTAACCCACCAGCCTCCTCTGTCCATGGGATCCTCCAGGCAAGGATACTGTGGAACAGGTTGCCATGCCCTTCTCTAGGAGATCTTCCCAAACCAGAGATGGAACCCACATCTCCTGCATTGGCAGGGGGGTTCTTCACTAGCGCCACCTGGTGACCTTGGGCAAATGCCTTAACTTCTCTGTGCTTCCCTTTTCTCAACTGCAAAGGGGAGATAATGATAGCACCCATCACCTAGGATTGTGGCAAGGATTAAAAGTTACTGATAGAAAGTGCTGAGGAAACGACGTGGTGCATAGGAAGGGCTAGGTAAGTGTTTGGCATGTTTGGCATTTTAAATGCTAGAATCCCACTTAGAGCGGCAAAAGGCTGACACCGTGAGAAGAGAGGCGGGGAAAATGGATTCATAGTTCACGCTCAGTTGATGGCTCATTGCTCAGAATATCAAAGGACGGTCTCGTGCTATTTTAATATTTACTCTTAAATTTTGGCACTAGTTTGCTCAGCTGCTTTTGGACATGCTCCTTGCATACAGGAGGCGATCACAGGGTCCCCAGGAAACCTGGCTGTAGATGTGGGATGGAGGTGGCCAGCCAAGGGGTCAGTTGGCTCTGGGGCAGTCGGTTCTTCGGGCCCCATCCTCTGCTCCAGAAGCAGGTCTGGCCTCCCTGACTTGGACCCAAGCCCTCAGGGTCCACACTGTCCCTCCCCCACCCATCTCTCACCTCTCTTGTGCCTCTGCAGGGGTTATCAGTAACTGGACCGATGAGCATCGCCTGCCGCCCTGCACCATCTTCCAGGCCTTCAAGTACTACCTGGACATCACCACGCCTCCGACGCCACTGCAGCTGCAGCAGTTTGCCTCCCTGGCCACCAGTGAAAAAGAGAAGCAGCGTCTGCTGGTCCTCAGCAAGGTAGGTCCCTGGCCTCATTCAACCTCACCACCTGCTCCTTGGAGAATTTTATGGTTACCTCGTGGCCTCGCTGGTAAGGAATCTGCCTGCAATGCAGGAGACCTGGGTTCGATCCCTGGGTTGGGAAGATCCCCTGGAGAAGGAAGTGGCAACCCACTCCAGGATTGTTGCCTGGAAAATCCCATGGACAGAGGAGACTGGCAGGCTACAGTTCATGGGGTTGCTAAGAGTCAGACATGACTAAGCAACTTCACTTCTTCTCTGTGTGGTTATTGCAACAGTGTTTCAGCAGATGGCAGCCTTGAGCGAGGGCTGCCACCATCTAGTTTGCAGGTCACCATATTAGCTAATCCATTTTGGCTGGACCTGGCCATCTCCCCTCCTTCTAACAAAGGTCTGAAAGGACAAAAAAGCGATCCCATTGAATCTCCACGTTCTCTGGCGGCAGTAGAAATTGCTGACGCTTTTTCCTCCTTCCTTTGGAACCCTTGTTGTTGTTCAGCTACTTAGTTGTGTTGGACTCTGCGACCCCACGGGCTGCAGCACACCAGGCTTACCTGTCCTTCACCATCTCCCAGAGCTTGCTCAAACTCATATCCATTGAGTCAGTGATGCCACTCAACCATCTCGTCCTCTGCCCCCCCTTCTCCTCCTGCCCTGCCAGCATCAGGGTCTTTTCCAGTGAGTCAGTTCTTTGCATCAGATAATAGTATTGTTCTCTTGATTCGCTACCTCCAGCCATTAAAACATATACAGACAACTCTTAGTTCACAGGCCATATGAGCAGGTGGTTTGTGGGCTAAAGTTTGCCACCGCCTCATAGCTGTGTGATCGCTATATCCCTCAGTTTCCCTATCAGTAAAATAGGGGTGACAACCAGGTTTATTTCATAAGATGAAATAAGTGAAAACTTGGCACAGAATAATCCCTATGTAAGAGTTAACTATGACTATTTTTTAATTTCCCTTCTTCCCTGAACCTCTGCGAGTGAGCCTGCCTTGAAAGTTCGCTCCAGGGTCTGGCTGCAGGTTCCCTTCTGTCCCTATCCATGGTGCAGGGTCTGCAGGAGTACGAGGAGTGGAAATGGGGCAAGAACCCCAACATCGTGGAGGTGCTGGAGGAGTTCCCGTCCATCCAGATGCCCTCCACCCTGCTCCTGACCCAGCTGTCCCTGCTACAGCCTCGCTACTATTCCATCAGCTCCTCCCCGGACATGTACCCCGACGAGGTGCACCTCACCGTGGCCATCGTCTCCTACCGCACCCGAGGTGGGCAGAGGCGCTGGGAGAGCCCCCGGCTTTGCATTTCCCACCCCACTTCCAGGGGCCCCTGGACATCTGCCTAAACCTCTTTCAAGACCCAAACCCCGGGGAGAAGACCCACCCCCCTCCAAGGTCAGGAAAACTGGGAGAGGAACCAGTGCAGCAAACTGTCCCCTTAGGCAGAGCCAGCTCCGTGCAGAGTTAGGGAAGAAGTGAGCTGTGCATTTGGAAGCCTCTGCTCCCAAAGCCCAAGACCCCCTTTTACTCCCTTCCCTCCCTGTGTACCCCCAAGGTAGCAGCTGGAACAAACCACCACCCCCTCTTCCCTCAGAGGGGGAGCTCTGTGCTCCATGACACCCAGCTGGTTGGAGGGCAGCCAGATAGCCTGACCTCTGTGCCTGTGTTTTCCATCCTTGGTAAAGAGGTGAAAATGCATGGTGCCTGGGAATTCCCTGGCGGTCCCATGGTTGGGACTGTGGGCTTTCACTGCTGGGGCCCGGGTTCACTCCCTGGTCAGGGAACTGAGATCCTGCAAGCCACAAGGCACAGCCAAAAGAAAAAAAGTGTGCGGTGCCTGAGAGACTGCTGAGACTGTGGTCCTGGCAGGCCCTTGCAGTGGACAGGATTGGAATCCAACCCACCCCCACCCAACAGTTTCACAGCCACGGGCCCACCCCAGCTTTACCATTTCCTCTTCACCATCAGAACAAGGGACCCAGATAGGGAACCCCAAGGCAGAAACTTGGCATCGGGCTGTGGGCCTCCTGTGCTGGAGGATGGGGAGGCCGGGGATGGGGGAGCGTGAGGCACGGTAGATGAGCCAGATCACCTCGGTTATCCTGTTAGATGGAGAAGGACCAATTCACCACGGCGTGTGCTCCTCCTGGCTCAACCGGATCCAGGCTGATGAAGTGGTGCCCTGTTTCGTGAGAGGGTGAGTAGCAAATGAAAAGAGAGAAGCAGCCATCCCGAATCTGCATCCTGAGGTCCTGAGATGGGGTGGGTGGGGCCGGTGGACCAGCTGAAAGGGTTCTGGAGAGGTGGCCGAGTCAGGCAGGACTGAGATCAACATTCAGCATCACTCCCAGCTGTTAGGCAACAGGCTCACTGGGGCAGAGCAACATAGCAGGAACTAAGTAAGTCCTCTGGTCAAATTCAGGTCAGTGCAACAAATATTTATCAAGTGCATGTCCTGTGCTAGTTGGGGCTGCCATAGACAGCCAGGCAAATGCAGTTTCAGCCTTCAGGGAATTTGCAGGCCAGTGAAATTTCTATCTGAAGCCTGCTGGCCACCCCATGTGTTCGCAGTTTCTTAGAGACCAGGAAGATTTAACCACCCTCCCTGTCAACCACCTTCCCCTTCCAAACTCAGTTTTAAAGGATATTTCTGCCCACAGTTAACAGTACTGTATTGTGCACCTAAAAACATGTTACAAGGATCGGTTTCATGTTAAGTGTTCCTACCACAATCAGTCAATCAAAATATACATATATATAGATATATAGCCTTAAAAACATAAAAATTAAAAAAATCATTGATATGCCTGAGCTTAGGCCTTCTGTACTTACCTGCTTTGTCAGCTGATAACTTCCCTACCTAAACTGTGGACTTGGATAGTCATTTTTCTCAGCTGTGAAGGGTAGAATGGTCATGGTATGGTCCACATACCACCAACACCAGAATCCCCTGTGGTGCATCAAAAATGCTGAGTCCTGAGCCTAGACTTATTACATTGCCAGCAATCTACACCCACTTTGAACATCCCCACGTGATTCTTTTGTACACTGACATTTGCAGCTCCCAGATTTGGAAAATCTCATAGATGGTTAATTCAGTGGTTCTCAGCCAAGGGTGATTTTGCCCCCCAGGGGCCCTTGGCAAAGTCTGGAGATATTTTTGGCTATCACAGCTGGAGGGTTCTCCTGGCATCTAATAGATAAGAGTCCTGGGTACCAGTCAGTATCCTACAATGCACAGGACAGCCCTCCCTTCTTGGTGGTGGGACTGTATACAGAGAATTGTGCAGCCCCCAATGTCAGGAGGGCTGAGGTAGGCAAGCCCTGCATTTGATCCATCCCACTCCCTTTGTGGCTTAGCTCAGCAATGTGGATAATTAGAAAGTGGGGCGATGGGCAGATCCTGAGGATCTCCTGTTTGGGGAAATTCCCCAAGTTTATGGGGTCTCCCAACCATGAAAAGGGCCACCTGACCCCAGCTGAAGAGCTTTGAGTCCCATTGTATTTCTACCCAGATCAGCCATCTGGTTTACCTAAGATCTAACAGAGTTTTTCTTTTTTTTTTTTTAATTTTTTTATTGGAGGATAATTGTTTCACAGTGCTGTTGCTGAGCTCAAATCTGATCAAGAACTGTTAACAGTTCTTGATCAGATTTGAACTCAGCCAGCCTCCTGACTTTCCCTTCCTTGTCCAGAGCACCCAGCTTCCACCTGCCCCAAAATCCCCAAGTGCCCTGTATCCTGGTTGGCCCAGGCACTGGCATCGCCCCCTTCCGGAGCTTCTGGCAGCAGCGGCAATTTGATATCCAACACAAAGGTGGGTTGTGGTCCAGCAAGCACAAGGCTTCCTCCCCCTGGATCCTGGGAGGGCTGCCTGTATCCTAGCAGCCAGGAGGCATGATGCTGTTCTGTCTCCTTTGCATCACTGCCTGGGGAGGGACAGGGAATACTGTAGCAATCAGACCCACAGGTCAAGTTTATGGTGCAACTCCAAGGACCTGTCCAAACAAGTCATCCACACAGCTTGTTGTAAGGCCTGAAAGCCCATCCCCAGAAGACATTTCTTGGACTATTAAGATAGGAACCCCATCTTAAAATGTAAGCAGTCCTAGAAGGGGTATGCATTAAGCCTTATCCAATGGATGTGTGTTTCTGGGATTGTTGCAAAGGCGGTTATTGAAGTGCAGGGTTTGCTGTGCGAGAAACACAACAGATCAGCTTTGGGAGGAGAGAGGGAAAAAAAAAAACCACAGTTCTGACATGCTTTAAATGGAGATTTACTGAGCATCTCATGGATGCCAGACACTATTGTAGGTGCTAGAGGCGTAGCAATGAACAAGACAGAAACAACTGGAAACACATACACACACTCTCTCTCTCTCTCGCCCCAGTGGAATTGTCATTCTAGTGGAATAGCAAACATACATTTACAAAGTACAGTTGACCCTTGATTGACATGGGAATTGCGTGGGTCTGAAATTTTTTTTCATATAAATACATATGTACCATCCGAGGCCCGTTGAGAGCCCGTGGATGTGGAACCAGCGGGTTCAGGGGACCAACTATAGCACTTGAGGATCAGTGGATTTTGGTATCGGGGTGGGTCCTGGAAGTGACCCCCTGGGATACCAAGGGACTTCACTATGTACTGGGCAGGGGTCTAATGTACATTTACTTCTTAAAATAACCCTATGAGGTTAGATGCTGTTATTACTTCCATTTTTCATATGGGGACACGGAGACATAGAAAGTTAATTCCTCAGCATCACACAGAGCTGGGATTTTAACCCAAGCAGTCTAGCTTCCAAGTCTGGGGGTTTGGTGCTACCAGTGCTGGGGAGGGACAAAGGAATGATTGAGACCCAGAGAAAAAAGGTCTGCTGAAGTCTGAACACGCTTGACCTACTTCCCTTAGTGTGTGCGTGTGTGTGTACCTGTGTGCATGTGTGTGTGAGAGAGAGACAGAACACATACCCCCTGCCCCAGTGTTGCCTGTGCTAAGGTTCCCAGCACCCTGGCACCCCTACATCAGGCATCAGAGCTGACAGGAGATCTCCCCGGCCCCCAGGAATGAGCCCCTGCCCCATGGTCCTGGTCTTCGGGTGCCGGCAGTCCAAGATAGACCACATCTACAGGGAGGAAACCCTGCAGGCCAAGAGCAAGGGGGTCTTCAGAGAACTGTACACGGCCTACTCCCGGGAGCCAGACAAACCAAAGGTAAGCCCGGCCCATCACACACATGTGCCCATCCACACACACACACCCTGCTCCCAAAACACCCTCACCCCTTCTGAACTCTCTTCCGTGACATCGCTCTGAACTTCAGGAAGCTTGGAGCATAAACATTCGACCTAAAATATTTAACAGCCCGTACTCTATCATGCCACTTACATGAAATATCCAGAACAGCTAGATCCATAGAGACAGAAGGCTGATTTGTGGTCTCCAGGGGCGGTGGGAAGGGAGGAGTGAGGATTGACAGTTAATGGGTACAGGGTGTCCTTGTGAGGCAGGTGGAAAGGTTGTGAACCTAGATAGAAGGGGTGGTTGCTCAATACCATGAATGTGCTCAATCCCACTGCGTTGGGCTGCACATTGTAAAACACACCTGCATTTTACATTATGTGCACTTTATCACAATAAAAATATTTATAAAATGAATTAAAAGGGACTTCCCTGGTGGTCCAGTGGTTAAGACTCCTTGTTTCCAATGCAGGGGACATGGGTTCAATCCCTGGTCAAGGAACTAAGATCCCACATGCCTCGGGGCCAAAAAATAAATTTTTAAAATAAATTAATTAAATAAAATTTTTTTTAAAGTTAAACAGTGCCTCCCCCCGCCAAAAAAAATTAAACAGCCCATAAGAGGCACTCCAAGTCAGAACGGACACGGGCTACAAGACCAGGGCACATCCCTGCTGGATATTAGGGAACTTCAACTGGACCCCAGGGGCATCCCAGGAAAGGACCCAGGACAGCCGGGGAAGGGGGTCCTCGAGGGTCCGGGCGCTGGAGCAGCTACTGGACCCCTGGCATGAGAGTTCATCAGTGTTTCAGCAGCTGGTATGGTCGTGCTTGAAAGTACCAGCTGAATGCCAGGCTCACCTGGGGGAAGTTTCCTGAACAACCCAGACAAATTCCCTAGAGGCTGCACTGGACACCCCTTGTGCCCACCCGATATTTCCTTAACCAACCATTTATTGCAGCAATTCCCACAGCAGCTGGCTTTGCTCAGGTGTCACCTGTGAGCCCCTCCCCCATCTCCTGCCGTCTGTCTGGGGCTTCTCCGGCTCCCGGGCGTAGGATGCCTGCAGTACCAGCCCCACACCTCAGGGTGCACAGGTGTAAACACCCCCGGGGTGACCACTGGCCACGGGAGAGAGGAGCTGGCAGGGAACACCCCGCTCTTATGCCTTCAGGGGACAGCTCTGGGGCGTGGGCGGCCTGGCTCCCTCGAGGGTCCTCAGCAGAGGTGAGCTGCAAAGCAGAGGCACTGCTCATCACTCTCTCAGACCGACGTTCCCTCCTCCCCTGCTTCATTCTTCCCAGTCCCCTGCATCGCTGCACAAAACATAGACCTGCCCCCAAGCCCCTGGGCCAGGCTCTGTTCCCAGGATGGTGGGGAGGGGGGAGCTACACAGCCTGGCTCCTCCTCACCAGTGCTCCCACTCCCTGCCCCCCACATCCCGCAGAAGTACGTGCAAGACATCCTACAAGAGCAGCTGGCGGAAACCGTGTACCGAGCCCTGAAGGAGCAAGGGGGCCACATCTACGTGTGCGGGGATGTCACCATGGCAGCCGATGTCCTCAAAGCCATCCAGCGCATCATGACCCAGAAGGGCAAGCTCTCGGTGGAGGATGCTGGCGTGTTCATCAGCAGACTGAGGGTGAGTGATGGACTGGCTCCTGGGAGCCCTTTTCTGGCATCCTGTCTCCTCTTCCTCGTCTTACCTGTCTCAGTGACTCGGGGGACCCGTGATAACATCCCTGCTCCCATCTTCCCATTTATGACTGGGGGTAGAGGATGCAGGTGATCCCAAACCATAGTAGAGAGAGAAGGAAAGATAGCTGGGCATGCAGTGCATATATTAAATAGAATAGAGAGCTGTGATGTATGAAAATGACAAAGCGGGTGGACCACTAGTAGTTAGACAGAAACGATCCTAACCCAACCATTCCTGTCCCCAGAACCAAGCTGCAGGACTGCCCTGGGCAGTTGTGCAGGTTGGCCACTGCACAAAAGGGTTTGTCCAAAGGGGGCAAGTAGGGGATGAAAGTCACCACCAGGCTTGGCTTCCCAAGCAGCATGCCTTGGCATAGAACTGTGTTCCCCACCGAAGGAGGGGTGTCTTTTCCTAATTTGCAGAAAGGCTAGTAGCAGCTCAGGAAGCAAAGTCCCAACTCTGTGGCCAACTGCCCCAAATAGAGTAAACTGAGCTGCAGGCCTCCACAAAGCTCCAAAGGTGACCCCGTTCTTCTCCCTGCTTCCCTAAATAAGCAGCAGTCAGGCATTTTTGTAGAAGAAACCCTTGCTCTAATTTTGATACTAAACCTACTACGTTAAAACAATAACAGCTTTCCAGTAGAAATGCCAGAGTACCCTGGAGAGCTTCAGAGTCCTCTACCACTCTGTCTCTTTGCTGTAAGTCCTTGGGACACATTTTCATAGATTCTGCAGAAGAAGGTCGGAAAACCACCCCAACTTAAAATGAATCCACTCTACAGATGGGCAAGTTTCTTCAAAACCTTTGGGACCATGGATGCCAGAAAGAACTTAACTCTGCTCAGTGCGTGTTCCCCAAACACTGCCTTTCCTCATTGGGGGGGGCACCTTACCCCCTTTTTAATTCTCAGTGACACTGCCCTCTGGGATCTCCTTAATGCCTATCCCTCAGTTCTGCCGAAGGAGCTCCAGTGGCTCCAGAAGCCCTGGGATGCCCCAAGTTCATCCTCACTCATGGTGTTTCTCGAGTTTTCTTGTTTGTTTGTTTCTGGGCAAAGCTGAGCTAAGATACTCATCGTCAGATAAACTATGTCCAGAGAAGCCTCCACTTTGGCAACTGTGGTGTTCCCTGAGAGCTAAGTGGGCACTTTGTCCTTCCTTCCATCTCTGCTGGTCTCTACTGATGGTGATGTTTCACACTAAACCCAGCCGTGCCCCAGATCTGAACTGGTGGGAACAAGGAGGAGGGAGGAAATGGGGAAATGAGCTGAAGTTTCCCCTGGACCCCCTCAGCTTTTCTGTCCTTAGCACCCACAAAGCAGCAGCACTCTTTCTGGATGGGAACAAAAGTGTTTGTAACCAACTGGGCTTAGAGAGACCCCCATGCCCTATAGGGCAGAGGCTCCTGCTGAAACACAGTCCTGGAGACCAGAGGAGCCTTTAGGGGGCCCTGAGTTACATCTCATTTCTTTTTTCTTTCTTTTCTTTTTTTTTTGGCCATGCCACAGGGCTTGCCAAACCTTAGTTCTCTGACCAGGGATGAACCCAGGCCACTCCAAGGAAAGCACCGAGTCCTAACCACTGAACCACCAGGGAACTTCATACACCCAGTATCTTAAGGAACCGTCTTCTTCACGGATATTCCATTCCAGGGTGTCCGTGTGTCCGCCCTTCTCCATGCCCTCAGCTGGCGTTTGAAGTCTGATTCCTGGTTGTTTCTATCCCCTAGGATGACAACCGCTACCATGAGGATATTTTCGGGGTCACCCTGCGCACATATGAAGTGACCAACCGCCTTAGATCTGAATCCATTGCCTTCATTGAGGAAAGCAAAAAAGACACTGATGAGTAAGCTGGCTCCTTCCTCAGGGTGAGGGGCGGGAGGAGCCCTAACAGAGACGTCTGACTCCACTGACCCTGGCTTTCCCACGCTGGGGCCCCAGACCAGCAGCAGCAGCATCTCCTGGGAATGTGTTACAAATGCGAATTCCCAGGCTGCCCCAGCCCTGCTGAATCTGAATCTCTGGGGTCAGGGCACTGAGCAGTTGGTGTTTCTACCACCCCTGCAGGGCGTTCTGAGTTCCCCTCAAGTGTGGGAACCCCGGCTATGGATGTCAGCTTCCACCGGGGCACCTCCAAGTTGAATGATGGCTCTCACCACTGCAAAACTTGTGTTCCTATTCACTCCTCCTAGGGTTTATACTACCTCCCTCACCCCCCAGATGCTGCTAGCGTTCTCATGGATGCAAATTCCAATCTCCATTAGTTTGACAATTCCACTTGTCCTCTAGAAATTGCTGGGAATGGTCTGAGGTACCACACAGCTGGGATTGAGCATAACTCTTCAAACCTTACATTAATGCCATGACACGTCACCCTTCATTGTAAGCTCACTCCCTGCATTGTCTGCCTCGAAACCACCACCAAGTGCCCTTAAAATTAGGTGGGAATTCAGTTTCCTCGTTTTCAGTAGCCTAGGGCACACACACTCCATTTCATAAGCTTCCTCATTGTTTTCCCCCTTATGACAACATGGCAGTCTTGAAAACATACTTTGGTGTCTAGCAGGATGACATTATTGCCTTGAAGATCACAGCTCATCCTGTCTTATTGTATGGCTGAGCCAGGCTCATTCATCTGTTCATTGATTCATTCTTCATTCACTCAAGAAGAGTCCCACCTGAGTGCCAGGGCCTGTCCCAGTCACTGGGGCTGCCGAGGAAGTGAAAGAGACAAAGTCCAGAACTCAGGAGCCTTTCTCTGAGTCTCTTAAGGAAACAGAGCAGCCTTGCTCCTCTGGCACTAACTCCCTCCCCACTTCTCCTCCTACAGGGTTTTCAGCTCCTAACTGGACCCTCTTGCCCAGACGGATGGCAGGGTGGCCGCCCCATTGCACTCGGCCAGGGTGGCTGCAGGTTTTGTAAGCACGGACACTGCTGAACCTTCCCCTTGGGCACCCCCACATGGCCCCGCTCTGCCTCTCGTCCTGTCGCCGTGCCCTGGTCCTCCTCTCCTGGGTTCTCGCCTCTCAGTGGTTTCCCGGCCCCCTTGGGTTTTCCCCTTGAGTTTTCGTGCTGCAGTGCAATGCCTTTATAGTCCGCAGTGGCTCTTAAACAAAACCGTCTCCCTCTCTCTCTCTCTTTCCAACAAGGGCAAATCACCAGTGCATGAAACCACTGGAACATGGCCAGGGCTCAGGTTAGGGTGTTTTCTGGGGTTTGTCCTGGAGAGGCTGCAGGGACCAGACAGAAGAGTTTTTTGACCTAGTCCTTCAGCCATTTGAATCCCACCCGATCCTTTTTTACGATGACGTTCCGGTCGTGCGTGCGTGTGTGCGTGTGTGTGTGTGTGTGTGTGTGTGTGTGCGCGTGATGGGCCTGGGTCTCCCTCTGTCCTCTTGCCTGTGCAAGCATGTCGCCTCCAGACCCTTGGTGCCAAGAAATATGCCCTAACCCATACTGGAGCCTCACACATCCATAATTAAGGGTCTGTGCTAGCATACCTGAAACACATGGACGCATCCTAATTCTCCTGGCTATAAAGGGTCAGAGCATGGAGGTGGGATTTGATGACCAAGGGGGAAATCTCTAGTGAAAGGGGACATTAGATGCATTTAAGTAGTGGCACCAGTTAGCGGAGCTCTTACTGAGAGATTAACCCATCTGATGGATTGGGCAAACCCATTTCCCAGCCCCACCCACCCCAGCTAGGATCACCTAATCTGCCCTCTCGGCACTCTCACCCAAGACCCTAAGCAACATCGCGTCCAAGGGAATGAGCTGGAAATAAGGGTCTTCCTGTCTTTGCCGCTGGGTAACTTTGGAAACATTACTTGTTGCTTAATTTCCCCTAATCATAGTGTTATGAAGCTAAAAAGTATGAATGGATCAAACTTTAAAGTTGTGAAAACTGGAAACAATATCAAGGAAGAATAGCACTGTTTTTTTGTTTTTTTTTTTAATTCTCCCACGTGGGGCTTGCTGTTTCACCCCTGGGGATACAGTAATGGAAGCCAGTGAAGGCAGATCAGGCTGGAGAGGGAATCTGTCATGAGGCATCTCACGGCTTCCTCTGCAGCCAGGGTGGGGAGACCTGCCTTCATGCCTTCATGCTTTTGGTCTTCTAAGAGAGATTCCCCCCAGTTTTTAACCTGATAAGATCATCTTAACAAATGATTCTCAACTCAGATCAAAAAGCAGGCAGCAAAGTCATTGGCAGGCATCAGGGTGGGTACCATTTCTCCCAGGCAGACAACCTGCTGAATTCACCTTCTCCGAGAAAATGGGATGGAAAGGTCCCTTTCCACACTTAAGTGCTAAAAGTCAGTGGTGAGCAGTGCCCAGAGACAGCTGCTGCCCCCAGGAACCCCTTCCCCAAGGTTGAAAGGCAAGCAGCCAGCCAGTTTGGAACTTCCATCTTATTTCATTTTGTCTTGTCCTACAGAAAGCTAGCCCTTTTCTTTCTATACAGCACATGAGCATTTCTTTCTTTCTTTCTCTGCCAAAGGGAGAGAGCCCTGGCCCTCTCTGGAAGGGCCTTAGATCTGGGATGCCAGAGATGTCCCCAGGAGGTGCCCTTAAAGACAAAGAGCAAACTCTGTCTCCCTTTTTCCACCCTTCCCACAGCCCCCGCTGGTGTCATATCCCTGGCGCTTCGAGTTCGACTTCATGCCAGTTCTGATTACCCTGCCTGCCTTTAATCCTATTTTCTCCCGCTCAGCCTTCCATGGTACAGAGATCAAGTGCTCAGCATGCTCGGCTGACCCTCTCTGACCTGGAGGGAAGCCCATTATAAACCCTTTCTTTCCTGCAAACACGATTCTGGCTAGGAGCTCTCCTCCCAGCAGCTTTCTTTCCAGCCATTTGAGCCCTTTGGAGATAGCTCCTAAGATGTCACTAGCTTCTGGGGGACTGAACTGCTGTGTCCGACCCCCATCACAGAGAAATGAACTACACAGCACCACAAGTGCTCCCCTTTCCAAATCAAGTTTTATGCATGAATGCTTTTCCATCGCCAGGTAAATACTTAAGAGCACTTATCCCATGCCAGGCACCTTCCTCATATAGCCCTGCCCATCTAGTAGCAGGCAGACCGAGGGAAATAGTGTCTTGTTTTATCAGGTAGTCTAAAGAAATAATCACATCACCAGGATTCATCTTTCTTCCCAAGAACGATTGTTTGGTTTGGTTTTTAAGCAAGTACCTTTCAACCCTCAACACAAGCTGATTCATAACTGCTGGCTAGAGAACAGGAGATTAGTCTGATGTGTGTCTCTTATTTGACAGAATCTCTGATACCCAAAGCCTCTCTGTAATGAATGAGCCATCAAGAGGCAGGAGTGGAGCCCCGATTTCAGGCTCAGCTCTGATCCACAGTAGCTAAACACCGCCCTCTTGTGGTGCTGTGTAGTTCAGCCTCAGCAGCCTGCAAATTTTGGTGTTACCAATTGGTGAGCAAAAATGGGGTTGACTGGGCGTTTGATTTGGCCGGGGGGAGCTTCCCGCTAGTTGCAGGTCTCTTATTTCCCTCTACCTCTCGAGCTGGCCAGCAATAGCTCCAACTCCATTTAACAAAAGTGAAGTTTGGCCTGGAGGGACATGAAATCCCCTGCCACAGCAAAGTGGAACAGTCATGCTTTCTGGCTGTCATTGTGAGTCCTATTCCTATGGTTGTGCTGCAAAAGAAGCGGAAGTCTTTAACCTCCCAAAGAGGATACAGGCTTCCCCTTGGCTTCTACAGAGTGAGACAGGCAGGTGTCTCTGCCTTGGGAGCAGTGCTTCAGACCCACCAAAGTGGAGTTTTAAAAGCAGTCCCGAGTCCAAACAGTAACTCTGCCACCATTTCTGCAGACAGCCCTGACCTGGTGACCTAATCCTTCTGAGTCTATATGTCTCCCTTTATCACAAAGTGGACTAGATGAGATAATGTCCACAAAATGCCCCAGTTACCATACTTGGCCCATGATAAGTGATCGAATTTTGTTTCACTTAATCTGTGTCGTCTTACCTCTCCGGTATCTGGAAGGCACAGTTAAGTGTACAGAGCAAAACACAGTTCCTCTCTTACAGAAGGTTAGGATCTGTGGTGCAGAGACGCAGGTCGTAGAATCAATGTGCAGGTCTGGGGTTTGAGCGATCGCCAGGATTCCCCTGGAAGGTTTGGGCAAACGAGATTGCCAGGATGTAGGAGTTCAGTGGAGGCGGGTGGGGGGTGGGTGATACATGGATGGAGAGCATGCAGAATGGATCAGGTCTGGCTTCTGACACACCAGCTTTGGGAGGCTGAGGAAGATAGAGGTACGCAGCAGAGACAGGCAGGGAACAGATGGAATTTTGTCAAGGGATTTTGACTTTATTTTGTAGGCAACACGGAGTCCTTAGGAGTGTTTTTTTTTTAAGGGGAAGATGAGGTGATGGGGGTTTTGCTTGGAAAAGAATGTTCTGGCTACAGCATAGAGCATGGACTGCTGACCTGTTGAACTATCGGCTAGTTATTGCAGAAACCCAAGACTTGAATGAGGGAAGGGGGCAGATTATGGTGATAAAGACATTCCAGGGGTTGAATTACCAGAACCTGGACTCTGACCTGTTGTGGACAAGGAGAACAAAGGGAAAGTCAAGAGTCTGCCTCTAGGCTGAGAAGCAGGTCTCAGGAGGAAAAAACAGGCTCCAAGGAGAACCGAGTTTTCAGAGCGGACAGGGGTGCCAGGTTCCCCCCAAGTCAAAAGGGTGGATCCTTCCAAGGTCCACGCCTAGATGGGCAGAAAGAGAACTGACCCCAGGCCACCAGACATCGGCCCGAGAACACAGGAATTTCTTGCCAAACACACTCTTTGCAGCCACCTGCTTGGGG